GACTCCTCCCTACGACTATGCGTAGACTACCGCCGCCTTAACGCTATAACTAATAGTGATTCTTTCCCGCTTCCACGTATAGACGTTACATTAGATGACATGAAAGGCGCTCGTTGGTTCTCAACTTTAGACTTAGCATCAGGATATTGGCAAGTGGACGTCCGACCTCAAGATAGAAAAAAGACTGCATTCACAGTACCTAATGGTCTATATGAATTTCACGTGATGCCGTAACGGCTAACTAATGCCCCAGCCACCTTCCAACGATTAATGCAGACAGTTCTACACGGTCTTGTACCACACCAGTGTTTAATTTACCTTGACGATATTATTGTGTATGGCAGAACGCCGGAACAGCATAATGCCAATTTGAAGACAGTCTTACAACGAATTAAGCATCATAACCTAAAAGTTAAACCATCTAAATGTCGACTATTGCAAAAAGAAGTGCTCTTTTTAGGGCATCGCATTACGGAAGAGGGAGTAGCAACAGATCAGGGAAAAGCGAGCGCCATTATTAACTGGCCACAACCGAAATCTGCCGAGCACGTTCGCAGCTTCTTGGGACTCGCTTCTTATTATAGACGTTTCGTACGCGATTTCACATTCCTGGCAGCACCTCTACATCGCCTGACGCACAAGGGAGAAACATTTTTGTGGAACACAGAATGTCAACAAGCATTTAACACTCTGAAGACATGTTTTGCTGCTCCACCCATATTAGCTTTTCCGGACACTTCTGCTAAAGCGGGTGAGTTTATACTCGATACGGATGCTAGTTCATCAGCTATTACAGCAGTCCTCTCTCAAATAGCACTAGATGGACAGGAGTGGGTCATTGCGTACGCTAGTCGGCGGTTAGATAAGAGGGAGACAAGGTATTCTACGACGCGCCGAGAGATGCTGGCTTTGGTAAAATTTTTGCAACATTTTCGTCACTATCTCCTAGGACGACCCTTTTGTGTACTCACAGACCACCGTGCACTACGTGACTTCGTTCGTTCCGTGAACCAGAAAGTCAGGTAGCGCGCTGGCAGGAGAGGTTGCAGGAGTTTGATTTTACTTGTGGATACCGACCATGAAGCCAACACACAAACGCTGATTCTCTATCTCGTATACCTTGTTCTCCTGATACCATTAGTGCCATCGTTAGCACAGCTCCCGAGATCGATTGGCCGTTTCTTCAAGTAGCAGACCCAGATCTGCGATCTATGACAGAATTAAAGGATCATTCCTTGGCGACGCGCCGTCTTTGTGCCAAGTGGGGCAGTCTAAGATTGTATGAAGGTACGCTATTTATAGTAAGCGAATCAAAACAACCACTGTTGATAGTACCACGTGTAAAAGTTCAGAACATTATGGAGCAGGTATATGGAGAACTGGGGCATTTAGGAAAACGGAAGACTGAACATGCTATCTGCCGGAGGTTTTAGTGGCTATCTGTCCACAAAGACGTTGCAGAATTCTGCAAAAATTGTAGCACGTGCTATACCATCAAGTCACCCCGACAAATACCCCGCGCACAGTTAGTTCTAATGACGACAGAAGGTTCGCATCAGCGAGTTGGCATCGATATTATGGGACCACTCACAACGTCAAAGAACGGAAACCGTTATATACTGTGTATGGTAGACTATTTCAGCAAATGGTGTGAAGCTGTGCCTATATCATAACAAGATGCCCTCGCAGTCACCCGGGCTTTCATTGATCGTTGGGTATCCCGGCACGGCGCTCTCCCCTCACTCCATTCAAACCATGGTTCAGCTTTTGAAAGTCATCTCATCGCCCAGGTATGTTGACCATTAGGAATTCGAAAAACACACACTACCGCATATCATCCAGAAGGTAACGGCTTAGTGGAAAGAACCAACAGGACTATCAAAGCTCTCCTACAATCGTTTATCAATAAGTCGTCGACGGAATGTTGGGATGACGTGATACCCCAATGTCTGTTAGCTTAGCGCTCATCAGTGCACGGATCTACAGGATTTTCACCGGCGACGTTACTTTTTGGCATGAATTGCGCTTACCTGTTGAGCTGCAATTACCGCTGTTACCATGCGAGGCCCAAAATCATGTAATATACATCCGTAACTTTTGCAGCCGCCTAGCCGACGCCTATCGCTTAGTGAAGATCAACCTACAAAATGCCAACAAGCAACAAAAGCACGTGTACGATCGCAAGGCGAACGGACCTGTGTATAAGCCCGGAGAACGTGTGTGGCTGCACCGCCCTTTGGCCTCACTGGGGGCATGCAGCAAGTTCCATCACCCTTGGCAAGGACCTTACGAAGTTGTGTTTACGCGGTCTCCCACTACATTCGTCTTACGTAACCTCCAACGACCCTGAGACGATGTTATAACAGCACACAGCCAGGCGGGACAACGGTGCACTTATATACCCCGTTTGTCAACCCCCCGACTGCCGTCAGCCATTATGAGGTGCCACCAGAAGAGGGGGAGCATACCCATGTCCAGCACCAGGCACTGAAGACAGTGCCTCAGGCAGAAAGAGGGTAGTGTAACAGTATCAAAAATCATTATGTGTGACTTTACTAATGCAGGTTTGTTTCCCTTATTGCAGGACAACAGAAAGTGAACGTATTAAAAGAAGAAGAACAAAGCTTGCGCAAACTAAACCTGCTGGATGATGAGTAAAACTATTTTGTAATAGACTTCCCTTTTTGTACTTAAACCGCGTAATTTAATTTCTACTATATATCTCTGTTGTGCTCGCACGCCGTGTTCTCACTTGAGTGGCATCTGCCGGTCTTGACTGTTGTGTTGTGTTTCAGATCGCTCCTGCCTGCAAGTAAACGCTAATAATACGTGCTACAATGAACATTCCATAAGAATTTACTGCATTTAGCCTAGGGACACTTGAAAATCTATGGCACAAGCAACTGGAAAATATATACATGTTAAGTGCAAAAAAATCATCCAGTAAAATAGTTGAACTCGACTGGATTAGTTTTGAAAATTATGTTATACAGTGGACGACATATATAACGCCATTCGTGAGGAGTAGTAATGATGCAGAAGTATCCAGAATAAAACATGCAGGGTGCTTGATGCTGTTGACGTTTTTGCCACTCGCTCGGATCAGAACAATTGAATGAATCCAGATAATTGTGTGGTTGTTATTGAACGAGTCATCTAAAATGACCTTATGATTGCAGAAAACCTATAGCTGAAACTCACCGTATGTTTTTGGAGTAGTGTAGTCCTTGTTATTTGGCAATCAAACTTGAAAATATGAAATTAGGCAGGCAGTGGTCGGAAGAAAAGATAAGGCGTTAAGTGAAGTAACACTAAGAATTAGATCCAGATAACTATTCTGTCCTTGAATGCATTGTTAGTCAATGTATATTTACGCTATTTAAATGTCATATTTGCTAGAACTTGATGTTTAAACAAGTCTATGTCGCTGAGACATGTAAATGCTATTGAAGCTTATTAACGAACCATCAAAGCCAATTAGTTTATATAGACGACCAGTTTTTATCGACTGAGCTAGTATGTCATGAGAACTAATCAATATTACATTACGATAATACATGTGAGAATTAATCAGAGTACTAGTTATCAAAATTAAGGTTTTCACAACAAACTGTCATCAGCTACAATGTCGAAGTGCTATCTAACTATATGAATGAATAAATTTCACGCCAAAATGCAAGATTCATTCACATTAACTTCACTGGTTTGTCCATAAGTTGTAGTCTCACCAAAGAATTTTGAAACAGAACCTACTTTTGAATAAAGCTCTCTCAGTTCACCTCTTTGTCTTGGCAAATTGACGTGTGGTCGCGTACCACAGCCTGGAATGGTGCAAAATTACGTGTGGATATTCGAGACCCCAATGTCTTCACCTGAGTGTGTCCAGAGTGTGCGAACGAAATTAGTGAAGGGTCTTTCTAAACTCCCTTATGATGAGCGTTTAAAACGCCTAAATCTTTTCACCTTGTCGTATTGTAGGACACGAGGTGACCTAATGCTCGCATTTCGTATCTTTAATTATGATTTGGGTGATAATATGTCCTATCTTTTTGCTCCCTCCAGCACTGATAGTATCCAAAGTCATAGCAAGAAGGTGTAGCGTGGCGTGGAGTTGAGATTAACTGTGAACACCGCTACCAAGAAGCTCGTTCCAAATGACTCCATAAAAACCCGAGAAGCCAAATATCAGAAGGCAGAAAATGGACCAAGTCAAGATTTATTCACTGGCGATCTCGTGGCATCGAAAGGATACCGAGATCGTGCCAGGATACAAACTTGGTTACAGAAGGTAACCGAATTCGCGCGAAATTACAATCGAAGTGTAAGAACAAGAATGGAAGCCCAATATAGCTGTCATTAGCACAGTCAAACAAAAGCACATTAAAACAAACACTGGTACAACTGTTTATAATGATAATTGTTTTTACTAAATCAGTCGTGTTCTCGTGATAAACGTGAGTCACTACAAAGGTTCATAAACCACGATCTAATAAACTCAAAGTGGGGTCTCGTATTTCTCATCGATTAGTCAATTATTGAAACACCTTACCTGAACAAGTGGTATCAGCCCAATCAGTGAATACTTTTAAGGAGAAGCTGAACCTTTACTGGAAAGCAATGTGTCAGGGTTAATACAGGTTCACCAACCTACTGTACTTATTACTGAAGACTGAAGACTGTAACCGAAAAAGTAGGCACCATGTTACGTTCGTTAAATGACACTCGGCACTCCGTCGCATTTAGTACTACTGATAATATTATCTGCTTTAGTCAAGCTTGTTTGGTCCTGTCGATCTGTATTAACCAAATACATATGTCGTTTTAGAAATCTTATTGAGTTTTTAATATTTGTACATCTTAATACTGAGGATCTCGCAATAGTAACGAATGCGGCGCTTACTTCCTAGTTTTCACTAGGTATGTCTTAGAGTTTGGAAAAAAATGAACGAGGCGTCATTAAATGTGCTTCTTAACTTGCGCGTAGTCTTGGACGCGATTACCTAAACATTCGTTTAATTTGCCGGTCTTTTGTAAAATCAGATTCATCGAAGACATTGAATATCAACAAAAAAGTAGTGAACTTTGAGTCATCCACAGAGACACCCGCGGAGTCAGTAAAAACATCCTTATTCTTGGTAACTGATATGTTGAACAAAAGCTTGACATGCTCTCTATGACTTTAGCTATGTAACTGTTTTAAAAATTACATAAGCGCGCTGTTGTTGATTCGGTGAGACTACCAATTTGGCTATGCGCTCATGTATTCCAACTTGTAATTGTTAATTGCTTTATTTCACTTATAATCAATCTGATCGATAAAATGTGTGAAATACTGTCATTAAATCAACTTATATGTATAACTAATGCTTGAAAGTATTTGAAGTATCGTATGAAATAGGAATCTCAGAATTAACGCAATCGAATCAAGAAGTATTAGATGAGCACAAACGAATGTACTTTATTTGGAATTCGAAATCATGCATTCAACAAGTACAAAGATATCATTAGTTCGTTCAAACACCACATCCGCCACAGCTTAAATTGGAATATAAGTGTCTGTAATCAATTGTACGTCTTTTTTTCAAGTTCATCCGGTGTCTGTCCGACAATGTGTTGGATAAGAACTCGGTATTATCTAGAATTTGCTCATTAGTATTGGAATTAACAACCGAAATCGGAACAGACTCACCTGGAATTGTATACAATCAGGATGTCGGTTTTGTACTGAAATCATTAATATCTAGAATTCGAACCATAGATTTTTCAACACTATCCTCCCCCACGAAATAATGCTGGATCTTCATATCCCCAAGTTAAGAATGATTTGATTTCATTTAAAACATATTTCTCACATTGTTTAGAGTAAACATTACAAGTGTTTTTGTGATAAGGATAAACAACAGTTGATATGAAATAATCCGAATTGTAATGAAATCGAGATCGTTTAGTATTCGTGCTTCGCACTGAACAAGTTTTTCACAAGGAACAGATGCATAATGAGGATAGGTAATAATTAATATGACATCAGGATTTGATTCTTCTGAAATATTTTCATGAAACTTATTAGGAATGTCATTGTAGAGCAATGGATCATTAGAAAAATTAGCATCTATCATAACTGCCTCAGGTTTTTGATAATGAATAGGTTCATTTAACATATTTTCCTCAGATTTGTAAGAAATTTCATCAGAAATATGTGAATCATTAGGAAAAGCCATACCTGGTAGAATAGCATGAGAATTCTGATCAATCGATTGGTTAGAAACTGTTGTCTCGCAAGAATTCTGAATTTGATTTAAATCAGAACTGCTTTGTGACCCTACACTGTCTATTGCAATAGCTGATAAAGATAAATCATCATTATAAATACTCGACTCAGTAGAATCAGAATTACAAGACTTAATATTAGTTGCAATAACTGACTGAATATGTTCAATATCATCACATTTTAAGCACTTAGAATTACAAAATTTACATGGATTAAAAGAGTGGAACTTGCCACAGGACAAGCATTGACCAAACTTATGTCCATCCTCGTGAACTGCATCCAAACTCAATGAATTATCTGCATAACCTTGAGTATGCACTGAGTTGGGATGACGTAGTAATGTGGCGAAATTTTTTATATCCTCATGAATCATTTTACGAGATCTTCCTTCTTTACGGCATTTGAAATTTGTATACTGAACATAGCCTAGCAGTAGTTCCTTGAGAGTTGTATGAGAAAGCGAAATGGGCTCTTCCGGCATAGCCAGAGTTTTTAATAAGCTATATGCTTCTTTTTCGATGAATGTGAGGAAATGTGCTACAATATTAACATCCTCATCATCTTCCTTGGTCGTAGCCCAAAATTCGAAATTTTCAAATTAATCCTCAAAAGCTTCAGAAGTTGAATGAATATCTAACCTTTACATAGCAGGCTCCATCGCGACGCCAATATAACGTTTGAAAGTATTTGAATTATCGTATGAACTAGGAATCTCAGAATTAACACAATCGAATCAAGAAGTACTAGACAAGCACGAACGGATGTACTTTATTTAGTATTCGAAATCATGCATTCAACTAGTACAAAGGTATCATTAGTTCATTCAAACACCACATTATACTATCTAATAAATCATTTTCTTTACAGCTCCAAACGCAAATAATTCAATGGACGCATTTCAATATAAACTACCTAGGAACAAAATGACCATTAAAAACTGTTAGTTGTTGCTGATTCTGTAATTATAAACGTAATCCGTTTGATGGTCATAAGGTAAAGCATTCAAGGCAGGAAAATTGATAAGAACTGTAAATATAAATGATCGTTGCAGTCTAAAGCCTAAAGAACATTTTGACAAAGCAATAGTTTAGATATATAAATCACAAAACTTCTGAAGTATCTTTGTCTTTACATTCGGCATAAAAAATTGAACAGAATTATAACAAGTTCAGGCTTCTTTTGAAACTTTTTAAAATCTTTGATTATTTGGTTAAGATTTTCCAGAAACAACTAAGTTATATAAAAGCACAATAACGGAAGTAATCATTGACATTCATGTTTCACGTAGGCATTAAATATACTAATTATGTATAATGAATTTTGAAAAGTTTGTGTGTCCAAAATGGATAACCTCAACCTCAGCTTTTACAACCTAAATAAAAACCCATTAGAACCTAAGTTTTGTTTCCTCTATAACGATATCACGAAAGGGATGTACCGGTGTGATTAACACTTAACACAGCATTTCAAGCTTGCTATAGCATACCTTGAGAAATGCTGAGAGGTTTTGCGTCTTCGCCTTGAGAATCACCCAACGTTGATTATTTCAATTTATTTATATGTTGATTGGTGACACCAGAAATTTAACTTAATAAGCGTGTAAATTGATCATTTCGTTATAACACAGACGATACATCAATTAGTTTTCTATTCAGGCTTATATTCACAAATCATTTTTTCTTCAAGTTGTTTCGATTTGTCTTCACATGTATCCCGGTTAAATTGACCCTCCAGGCACTGCATAAGGAACAGAACCAATCGAGAAGAAATATTCATTATCTGGCAGACTTGGGAAATAACAGTGTTATGAAACTTTCAAAATCGTGTTATACAGACATCGTGTCTTCATACAAATAACAAATTATTAGTAAACGTTATTTCTACGATTATTTTTTACTAGAATAAAATTCCTGATGTAGTACAAGTTGAGTGGGCATCATTTAACGTTCTTGACTACGTCATTCTTCGCTGAAAGTTTATCACTGATAACTGTGCGTTCTGTCATAAGGTTAAGAAATTGAGGAACAAAGAAAGCACTCTACTAGAAAACGAAATTTCTAGAAAACCTAGGATAGGCCACAACTGTTGTTAAGAGCTTTTAAACAATGAAAGGCCATTTAAGTTGAGTTGTAATTTCATTACGCGGAAACTCTTATATTCATATTTTAGGAAAAACTGACAGATGTCATTGGACTTCGAGAATATCCCCAAAATTGTGAGATTGAGGTGGAAAGATTTGATATCGGCGCAGAACTGGAAGAAATATTAAAAATGACAAAATCACAGCTCACTTTCTGAAGAAGCTTATAACGTTGTAGCGGTAAATAAATCCCCAATATAAATAGCTCTGTAAGTTCTCGATATTGGATGCTGACCACATGTTTTAATGGACTTACCTAGCTGAAGGCGTTCGGTCATACATCCACACCAGATCACGTGTGGGAACGCCGTGCTCAACATCTACCGCAATCGCTAGCCAGATTAGATCATATGATTATCGATATATTGATGGCATATCAAATATACCTTCCAACTTCCTCGCTCCTGTCTTTTGATTTCACTTGGTGGATATGATTCATATAGGTGTTGCTGGTTAAAGCGTCGTCAAACTCCAAATACCTGTAGAATCTTCAACGTGCTTAAGAAGGTGGCTTTCTCAGAGAAGCCGATTTCATCCTCATATCAACCTCTCAAGAAGTTACTAGTTAACCATGTGCAATGTGCTAAATCAGAATTCAGTGGGAGATCGAATTTTCACAAAATGATGGAACAAAATGATCAAAGTTAAAGACTTTATATTTTAATTACAGAAACAGGACGCTTTCAATAGAGACAGAGATTAGAGACTTAATTTCGTGATTGGTTGATTGCTGGTATATATGTTCCGAATTTAGAAATAAATTTAATTCAAATACCAAAACAGTTTATTCCAAGATATAAAAGCAGTATCTATTGATCAAGGCTGTGAACCAGAATGATTTTCAGTCATCAAAATTTTTTAATATTTCGCTTAGTCGTTTTGATGAACTAGTTTTTCCAGTTCATCCAACCTTGCGTTTGTTAAATAATGGTATCTGTCCTCGTGGTATTATGAAAAGTGGATCAAAATGGAATTGTAAAACACATCACAGGAACGAGCAAACGTTTTCAATATTTTGTTTTTACTAAATTTTACTCGTGCACTTGTTTTGAATTTCAAAATGCTGAAAGGTTTAAATGTGGTAGCATTAATGCTAGTCCAATTGGACTACATTAATGCAGTCACTCGAGCTACCAATTTGGGGGACATGACACCGAAACCCTGAAATTTCCCATTAAAATTGGTGGTCATTTGACTCTGGAGATATCCCCAAATTGACACCAAACTTGGGAGATTGGGCAGTTTTCAAATCTACTGTTCATTTTGCCGCTGATCATACTAAACGGCGAGACTCTAATTTAGGGACGAGTCAATGAGAAGCGTTTGAGCGATTTCAATTATTAGATAATTAAAAGACAGTATAAAGTAAAAATATATTATCAGAAAGTAATGAATTACAGTGGATATTCTTCTCTCACATGTTAAGGTTTGATAAAGGTTCAGAAGTTCTGAATTCATAATGCATACAATATACAAACTCGTCCATAGGGTTAGGGTTGTAGCCTCTCAATAAACACCTCTTCTCTAAAATCCGTTGTAAACCGATCGTATGTTAGCATTCTAACCCTAACCTTAACCCTAAAACATCACCTAACCTTAACTTTAAACATATGGACGAATTTCTATACAATATGCATTGTGAATTCAGAACTTCTGAACCTTTATCAAACCTTAACAGGTTTTTAAATCATGTAAAAGAGGAATATCCACTGTAATTCATTACTTTCATATATATTTTCACTTTATACTAACTGTCTTCTGATTGGCTAATAATTGTTAGGGTCATTTAAGATTCGTTCAAAGGTCGTCCCTAAATTAGAGTCTCGCCTACCAAACTTTGTCATATAGGTCCTTCTTTAATAACAACTCCCAGTAATTGACGTTATGTTCAAAAGCAATCGAATCTCTCCAGTGGTAATTTTAACGAATTTTTCGTTGACCCAAGCTCCCTATTTCTGGAAAATATGACCCGTTTCGGGGAAATTTGGGAAAAGTCGTTATAGTTAAACCTTGGGAAATTTTAGGGTTTTGGTGCCAATTTCCCCGAAGATTCCCTTTTAACCGTAGTTAAGGTCATTTATCTTTGAGGATTTCCTTGAAATTTCCTCGAAGTTCTTTTAAATTTCGGGTTTTTCCCCAAAATTGGCTTGGGAGGTTTCCCAGTATTTACTCGAAATTCCCAAAATTTTTCCCAAACTTGAGAGATTGGGGATATTTGCATTATGTAATGCAAATATAGTGCTCTACCTTAAGCCTCGAGTGTACATGGATTAAGTTGACAGATATAGTTTGTAAGTGTATTTGTATTCCGACACAACTTTATAAGGTTATTATTCCTCTTTTACATACATAATAATAAATGTGACATCAGTTCTCAAAGCCTGTCACAAACATAGTATTTTATGCAGTAAGTATGTCTGTTGGTTAGTGCTTTGGCCTCGTAGACCAGGAAGTTTTAATGAATATTCATGAATGTAATAAATTTTCAATTTTTAACGCCTTGGCACTGATTTACAGCATTAGTCAGGACGGTACATCTTAAATAATGATAAGGAGAAAAAGAAAGTTCTTGTCATTCTTAAAAAATGACTGCTAAACAGCGAACATTTCATTTATCTCGATGATGTGACTGACCGATATTATTGATAGTGCGGATTGTGATAGTCGCTTTACTTTGAGAAAATGAATGGTACTACATCGTTTTAGCCATTGTTAGTCACTTTTATTTCATTGTTTTTAGATCACCACCATGTAGGAAAGGAAATGAGAGTCTCTTTTACCACAGTACTCGGCTACAATAAAAAAATTATGTCAGATGATGAAACGCTATCGTGTGAAGCGGAAAAGCCGAAAAGGTGAATTGTTCAACTTAAGAAATTACTTTTTGTTGTGACTGCTAAACGAAAATTTGACGATTATTTATGCACCTCTCAAACTCATGTAAAATTACGGGAAAAACGCAAATTTCATTGAGAATTTTGGGGAAAAACACCAAACAGTGGAAATTTCGGGGGAAAATGCAGAATTCAGAAGAATTACCTCAAACCTAAAAAATCTTTGTGGAAAACGGCAAAATTCAAGGTAATTTTCGGAAAAAACCCCAAAAAGAGGGGAAATTTTTGATAATGCAAATATCAGTGGAAATTTTGGGGAAAAACGTAAAATTTAGGAGAGATTTTAGGGTTTCAATAATAAATATAAGCTTATATCCCCAAAGTGTAATAAGATTGTTGGGACATTTTGGGGTTTGGTGCCATTTCCCCAAAACGGGTCAAATTTTCCTCGAAATTGCACGCTCAGGATCAAGTTCATCATTTAATTTAGGTGTTGTGATTGTTCCGACTGTGCTCTCACACTATGCTTAGTTGTACTAATTTGAAAATAAGTTGTCTTAAAGGTTATAAAGTATTTTTATCCTCTTATAACATATTACTTGAAGACTGTAACTATTAGGTGAACGGATACTTTTCCAATTAAATACTGCGGAGACAATGAAAATGTTGGAAAGAAAAACAGTTCAAAAGTAATTTTAATCTGACTTTTAAAGTAGATCTATTCTGTTAGACTTTTATTCGTTTTGTTAAGATGATTAAACGCCTGTTCAGTAGTTAAGTCCGAACAACTATTCACAATGTTATCTGTCCAGTACCTTGTGATCTGGAGTAAAACAACTTACGATTAACGTACAATTTCAACTCGTCATTTGCATGTGATGTTATGTGAGCTACAAATATAGTTAAACTGTAGTACGTTACATAGAATTAACAGACACACCACAAAGACAGCATACGGTATATACAAATAACTTACATACGGGTTCTCTTCAGTATTAATTTGATTTATTACAGATGACCATATGAAACTTATTTGTATTGATTTTTTTCATAATTTATCATTCATGTTTATATAAATACATTTTAAAAATTTCAGTCGTATTAAGGGGTCATGTCCTCTATCTGGAATAAGTTGACGTATAAAGAAAACAATTTTCTTAAACATACAAAGTGTTGGATACATCTTATTGATTTTTGGGCCTTTTTTTACCAACTTAATTGTTTTAAATATCAAATATATGTTTTCATTAGGTATATAAAATTAAAAAACGCATTAGAATTTCCAGACAGGAATTCACTTATTTCTCGACATATATGAATAATATGAGCACTTTCTTAAGAAAAAACCATGGTACTTTAAACAGTCACGGATTAATTTATAACAGAATAGCAAACATGATGTTTAATGATATCATGTTTGGTTATCCAAAACAAACTTAAATATTTGTTTATAAACGTGCAGTTAAAGTTCAGAAAACAGACATTGTTGATAACATTTTCGTGAAATAAACTTGAAATATGTCTACTTTCTCTCTCTCTCTCTCTCTCTCTCTCTATATATATATATATATATATATATATATATATATATATATATAACCATAGAAAAATAGCTTCGAATATCTTTACCACATAGTCATCTCTTACAACATATAGCAAGAAATCTAATATGTAATTGGTGATATTTTGGACTGTTTAGCATGTTCCGAAAAAGTAACGATTCAAAAATCTAAAAACCCATGATTGTGTAATAGCTAATCATTTAATTTATAATGATAGCCAATCAGTAACTCTACATGTGACTTTTCACTTTCTTGACGTTTCTGGCTAAACTTAAAGTGAATGCTGATTAAATGAAAGGCTTCTTAGTGTTTCCTGAGCCTTTGTTGTCTTTTGCGAATTTTCTCGAACATCACAAAATTAGTAATTTATCACTATGATAGTGGACTGGATTTTCACTTATTTTCCACATACTTTCGTCGATCTTTAATTAATTGGCAAACTGTCCACCTCAAAAAGTTATTTTCATTGATTCTCACTAACTCGACCATTAAAACTCGAGTAAATCATTCTGATTTTGCACAATTATTAAGCATCGCAACGAATTCGTACTGGTTCTTACTCTAGTAATTACGTGCGTCTATGGATATGGTTCAACAGTGATCATGTTAAGTACACAAACGAAGGTAAAACAGCTAACAGGAGATTAAAGATGATTGGGGATAATATAAGATTGCAGGATCGTAACGTAACTCTGCCTTCAAAATGGTATTCATCAAATTACAACAAAACGAGGGGAAGCTCAGTTATTCTAGAACACATGCCATCAGTTCAAAAGAACCAGTCTGAGGCTTTGATACTTATTATTATTAGCTTTATTCAATATTACATTTTTTGGTACAATATAGAATTTTCAGCGTAAAGTATTTCAGCAAGTTTCCGTTTCTTCTTGGTCGGTCCTGGCGATAAATATTGAGTGATCGCCAGTTAGATGTTAACAGTCCAGTAAATGAACATCTGAATAATGTGCATTCTTTTCGCTGTATATTGCCAGCAACCACATTGTCTCTTATTGAGTTTTTTGTAACTTTGACAACGAAAGGTTGTGCACTTTTCAGAAACGCAGCAGAATAGGTTATGCGATTAATAGACATAACGATACATTAAAACAAACAAAAATAGATAACTTGTTGAAATATCTAGATGGCAGGAACAGGTAGCCCAAATGCTCAAGCAGGCCGCCCTACTTATCTAGATCTATTTGTAAATAGGCTTGAAAATATAAACTTTCATTGATAATCTTCACCATTCCAACCACTCATATATATCATTTTCGATTATGTTGTGTTAGATAATTCCTTTGTACGGCTTCAAAATATGATGACCGTTAACTGTGTATTTTAGTAGGCTAATTCTCCTGATATCACTACAGCTTTACTCGAATATTGAGAAAACATAAAACTAATAGTTGGGATAACTAGTAAAACCCACAAGTGTGGGAAAGGAGAGCACACCGGAAAGTGAATGAGTAAAAAGTGCAAGCACTTATGTGTTCCAAGTGTTAATCGATACACGGGTAAAGTTATTGACTGTTTGAGTTTACAACCATTGAGAGGCTAAAGGTTGAAATGCAGAAATACATTAAATCAGACTTACATTATGTTTATACACAGTGGATCAATCGTCTAAGTTACTACAAGTAGGTAGTAAAAATATAAGACGGTTACTGTAATGTTATATTATGTCACCATTTGATGAGTGCCAATAAATGCAGAATTAAAGAATTACACTGATCGGTATTATTTTTCTACAATTATATGTCCTCATTAGAACGAATTGTATAAAACTTTCGCGAGTGAATCCACATGAGGTTTTGATGAAATCCCTGAGAATTATCAGGGATATTTAATAGACAACAACCTAAATATTCGGTGTTTTGAGTTAGTTGTACACTGTACTATTATCACTCATATTAAACATACATCAAATGGTAGCACAAATGATTATCCATACATACGTACCTCCTGATGGTTTTAGGAAAGCAGGAATAAATTCGATTTGTTCTCAGGTTTAAATCTGTTAACCACTAAAATCAAATTAAAAGTATCTGAATTGAACGATAATACTCAACTGCTGATTGCCTCTGTTTACTTAGTTTGTGCTGTGATTAAAATCATATGAATATCAATTTTTCCCAGTCTACTTTCGGTCCTAAAAATAATGAGTTGTATAGTAGACGCATATGAATACATAAGAACAAAAATGCCGAACACATTCCATTTCACCAAAATCATCGAACGCAGACATACATAAGCTTTTAAAGAATAGCAACCCACGTGCGACTGAGTTTATTCACGTTTAATTTGGTTAAGCCCATTTGTTAACTTGTTTAGCAGATGGTCATTCGTACAATAACAACTTATCCATACCATTGCATATTTATTATTGTTGCACGTGTATGAATATGCGTGCTTGAGCATTGCTTACTGCCTACGCACATATTTATTCTGTTCATTTACTCGCCCATTCGATCCGCATGCTCACTCTCTTGCCCGCTTGCTCTTCGGCACTACACTTTCATGTTTGTTTAGCACATCTGTAATTTTGGTTGTCTGTGCGTGGTGCAATATTAAACGTCACGAACACTTCGTATTCGCCTTCTCATTAATACACCGTTGAAGCGTTATTTAGTGACGATTATCAGGACGAACTGTATACGAAGTTTAAGGATTGTATTGAATAGCAACCGCCACAAATGTTATTATGAACGTGTTATAACCCACCTAGAGCTGTGTAAATTCAGAAAATCAGTGCCACAGTGAAGGCGAAACAACATTTATGTGATCTTGCACTGCATCCACGACATCTCGACCTAGCCTCCTACAATTGATGCAAAGAGATTTTTAATAAACCCAATCTACTAACCACTAGCAGAACGCGTAAGTAACCACACTATTTTGTATTTCCTTAATAATCAACCGATAAAATGAAACGTTAGACTGAAAAATTACGACTGTACGCCATTTGTTAATTTTCGGACTGAATGGTAAGATGTGTAAACACAGTTCTTAAAAACTGAAGATTTATTTCTAATATTGATCGAAGATATCAACCATAACAGTGTAGAATATGATCCAATAAACAAAACAATATGTTTAATCTATGCAAAAAGTGTTAAAAATGCCATCAAGTAGAGTGCAGTGAAACATGAAGAGAGGGGATTCGCACACAAATCATCAGTATCACTGATTTCTCTCTTAAGAATAATATTGAGATATTCCAAAAAAGTAGATATTGTGTGGTGATCCGGAGTTAAGAACAGTACGTGAGAAAAATTTGTACAGTTGCAGTTTAATCACATATAAACTAGTTGGATTATTCGTTAAAAGGTGATTTACAAGAGAAATTGATGGCGAGACTATAATTTATGGACGAATCAATCAGCTTTAGGATAACATGTCTTGGATTTTGGCGCGAAATTTATTTACATATGTTTAAATAATGCATTGGCATTTTAGCTGATGTCAGCTCTTGATGAAAACCATAAATCTAATTCCTAACGCCCATAATCAATTTTAAATCATAATCCTTATTCTTCAAACAGCTTCAAAGCACTCATTTAGCACTAGTAAGTGAACATTTTCAAGGTCATTTTAGCCTCGCTGGAAGATCGTCCATAAATTATAGTCTTACCAAATTGATTACTTATCGATTGAATTGCATTTTTGTACAATCAAGTTATGAAACATTTTTACAATTAATGAATATCGATGATTATTTGGTTGAAGATGTGCCAAAATAATGTCATATTTTACTCATTAATCGAGGAAGAAGGACAAATAAGTTTGTGCTTTTCTACCGGCTGAAACAGAATTCTAAAAAAATTTGATTAATTATGAATATTTAACCGCTACTTTAAGTCATCTGTTATTAATGTGCAACTTACCACAATATAACAGACGATAGATTTTGGCAATTTGGTTGTAATGATGTCCCATCTAGTGAATTAGATCAAATCTCATCTAACTATGCATGAAAGCACTCAGCACTAAAAACACGTAATACAAAAACACGCAAATATATGGAGAAGACATTTTCAACATTATATATCTTTGTTGAGTAAAAGAAAATAATACAATCGCAATAATCAGAGCTCTAGATTACTTCGGAAATATTCCCTTTTGATATGCTACATTTTATGCGAATTTCTCTCACTACTTTACTGGCAAATAATAATGACAGAGTATACACAGAACCAAGTAATAGAATACAGACGCGTCATTTACAAAACATGACGAAATCAACAATGTAAAAGGTAATAAAGCATGTACAAAGTGGAGGGGAAAATTACACTATAACATCATTATCATCATCGTTATTTGAAAGCGGGGAACAGGGAAGGAAATAATCCAATTACGCAAACAGAAAGAAAACACAAGTTAGTTTACACTAAACTAACTATGGACAAAGAAAAAAAGACATAAAAATTGTTGAATGACAATATACAAAGAAAAGAAATCAAAATATTAACAAAACAAAAAGTTATCTGGCTAACTGAAAAAAGTTTTACATCATTATTATCATGACCCAATAGCTCTACCAGAACAGTAGTATGTTTTAAAAAAAGTGGAAATGTTTTCAAGTTAGAAAAGTAAATTACCTTGCTAGCGGTGAAAACTTCGAACATCCACTATCTTAAGATATTTTTCAGAGCTGCAGCCTGTCTTCTTGTAGTAATGATAGGTTCAAAAGGCTGTTAAAAGGTACAGAAGATAAAGAATCATTAATTTACGAAAGGCAACTATATTGAAATGTCTAGTAATCTACAACAAGGCCGAGCAAATACAAGAAATATGAAAGATGTGGCTAGTGCTACGGAATATGCAGTAACAATCGTCATCCGAGTGAACATAAGATATAAAATGTAAAAAAATATTAAGGAAATATAATGCTTAATAGCCACTGATGATTGAAAATGGTTGAAATAAACCACATATATACGACATAGTACAATCAACTGAGACTCAAACATTTTCGGTTGAAATTGAAATACTGATGTTCAGTTACTTAATCTTCTCATTGCCGTCAATGTTTCAACTTAGTATGACAAGACCAATCACGCTACACTTAAGTGTGCATGCTACAATTGAGTAATTTGCCATTAAATAATCATGGTACCGGGATTTTTTTTGTGTTTATTAGGCGCAATCAGTCTATTTCTGTTATATCTAGAAAGTTGTTCTTGATATACCGCGTATAACGTGATCACTAGAACGTCAGAACCCTTCCAAGTGGCAATGAGAAAACAGAAGACTAATGAAAGGAATATTATTCCCATACAGTGTCAATTATAGTAAAAAATTGTCAGGTATTTATAGTTTTTAGTAAGAACGAGCCTCCTACAGCTTCCTCGAGTTCATCCGTGGTCCGTCGTCACACCTCTCTCCTTTTATTCTGTCGTGTAAGACTTTTTCCCCGGATCCACCTGAAACTTGGGTGTCGCATTCCTCTTGCGGTGCATCATTCTCGAGGGTTGTACTGCTTTGCCCTTGCGCCATTTATCTCTTCTATATCTGCGCTACTGAGGGCTTTTCTGAGATGAATCCACGAGCAACTGAAATGGAGTCAGGTTTCTGGGACCACTGTACAGACATCTCTTTGCATTTGATCTATGTGTCTTATACATTTTCCGACAACTTTCCGGACTAGGTACAGTACATTTACGATTCGACATTCTGTGACACCTGATTCCCACTTCTTATTACCTTGATACGATTTGACAAGTACCTTTTCACCCACCTGGAAGCTACGAGTGACCGTACGATACTCATTCGTGGGTTTATTTGTCTTACGGATGGCAACATACTGTTAAAGACTGTCTGGATTTCCCTTCCGAACATACACTCGGCTGGTGACATTCCTTCTGGTACTGCCGGACAAGGGGTGACTCTGTAGGACATTAAGAACTTACTGTTCACTTGTTCTGGGAAACCCTCACCTCCACCTTTGACCAGAGCTCTTTTTAACGTATCCACGAATCTTTCGGCTCGACCATTCGACTGAGGATGGTACGGAGGAGATTGTAGGTGCGATATGCCATTTTCACTGCAAAAGGGTTTGAAAGGGGATGACATAAACTGAGTCCCATTGTCGGTCACTAATATCTCTGTAACCCCGAAACAAACAAGCAATCCTGACAATCTTCTTATTGTACTCTCTGATGTCGTTTTCGGCATGTCATATACTTCTGGCCATTTTGTGAAAACATCGACAACAACTAAGTAATTTCTGCTTTGTATTGGTTCGAGTAAATCAGTGTGTATGCTTAGCCAAGGCCCGTCCGGTTTTAGTCATGGTTGTGGTTCAGCTTTCGTTGGATTCTTCGCGGCCTCTAGACAGGACTAACAACTGAGACATTTTTGTTCTATATCATGGTCCATTGACGGCTAGTATGCATAGCTACGAGCTAGTGATTTATTTTACTTATCCCCGTGTGCCCGCTGTGGAACTGCTTAATGACTTGGTGTCGAAGATTTCTGGGGATAACGATACATTGGACAAACATGATGCACAAATCGACAACTGTTAATGACTCTCGTCAACGAAAATATTGTAAAAGTTCTCCATGTAGTCTAGATGAAGGCCACTTGTTGAGTATGCAGTGGCGAACAATTTTCAATGCATTATCCTTCTTGCATGCTTCTTTAATGGCTTCGAAAACTACGTCTGCCAATACTTTGTGAACCTCAACCTGAACATCTATGGCAGCTACAAGCACCTCCTCTTCTTGTTTTGCATGCGAACCAATCCATCTTGAGAGCATCTGTCTGTCCGAAATCCGTTGTCGGTTGATACTTTATCATGAAATCATAGTCCAGCAGTGTAGTTGCCCATCGCTGTAGACGGTTTGTTGTTTATACAAGGAAACCGTTTTTGCATCCCAAAACTCAGTAGCGGTTTATGGTTTGTTAGAAAGGTGAACTGTCTGTCAAGCAGCATTTTGTGGAACTTTTTTACAGCAAATATGATGGAGAGGTTTTCTTTCTCAATTGGACTAGAGTTCCTTTCAGTCATTGTCAGCGATCTTGCAGCGTGGGTGATTGCCTTCTCAGACCCGTCAGAGTATGTATGTGAAATTACTGCTCCGATTCCGTAGTTTGACGCATCTGCTGCGACTATAATTGGAAGATCTGGATCACACTGTGTAAAAAAAAGGTTTGATGATAGGAGCTGCTTTAGTTTTAGGATTGCTTCCTGGCATTCGGTTGATCAGAACCACTTAGTATCGTTTTTCAGTAAGCAATTAAGAGAAGCACGAAAGCGATGCAGATCTGGAAGAAAAATGCCATAATGTCTAACCATTCCCAAGAAAGAACGTAAAGTGGATACATCCGTCGGTGGAAGCATGAACTTGATAGCTTCGACGCTTTCAGGATCAGGTTTTATTCCGTTTTTATCCGATTATGAATCCCAAATAGCGGACTTGCTCAATGTGAAAATCTCATTTTTCACCCATAATCTGCTATACGTCTGAGAACTGTGTCCACCTTATTCTCTAAGTCAGTACAGTCTGCACCCATGATCAGTGTGTCATCGAGATAGGCCGCGGTACCAGGAATATCTTGTAACATAGTATCCATAACTTGGAAGACTGAAGGGGCGGTCTTTACGCCAAAAGGAAGTCTGTTATATCGGAATAACCCTTTACGAGTGTTTATTGTCAAGTAATGCTTACACTCTTTCGCTACTGGAATCTGTACATAAGCTTCTGATAGATCTAATTTTGCAAAATACTTAGCCCCATTCAGTTTCGCAAATAAATCTTCTGGTACCGGCAAAGGGTATTGATGGACTTTAAGTGTTGCGTTTAATCCGTTCGAATAATCTGCACATAGCCGGATACTTCCATTTGGCTTTTTGACTATCACTGTTGGTGCTGCCCAATCAGAAAAGTTTACTGGTCCTATTATTCCACTTATTTGCAGACGTTCTAATTCTTGTTCAGCAATAGGCAGCGCTGAATAGGGGTACCGGACGTTTTGGTCTGAAGACGGGGGTAACTCCAGGTTTAATAATCAGTAGTGCTTCTACCTTCTTGCACCCCCCCAACTCTTCCGTAAACACTTGACAATGTCTTTCCAACACAACACCCTTCAGATCCTTTTCCACTAGTTTATTGGTTCTCACGGCACTGCATATGTGGTTAATGGAGTGATTTGCTGATTGTAATGTTTCTATTAAATCTAGACCCAGTAAATCTAGTCCTGGGTTCTCTGTGAGATATAACGTTGCATTCTTCTTCGCGTTTCCTTTTGAAACTGTACAAAAAACTTCTCCAACAATATTTAATCTCCCTCCAGATGCACTATGAGCTAACTGGGTTGTTGTGAGCACCTGTGGTTTTCCGATAAGATTCTAGGTCCTTCGACTGATAAGTGTGGTGTCGGGAGCAGTGTCGAGCTGCGGGAGGGCGCGCCTTTTATTTATATTTAAGTTTACATACTTACGTTGGCGGTAAATTTGTGCTCGATTATGTGATACCAATATTTTGTTAGTTAGAACACTACACCTGTATTTCTTGGAGTAGGGTTTCGAAGAATGTCGTTTATGGGTTCTTTTCCTGCAGCTGTATTCTTTATGGCCCTTACGATGACATTTGCTATAGCAATGTTCTTTATATGGGCAGAACCTCTTATAATGCCAACCTCCATATGACCAACATGGAGATGAGGGCTGATTGTCTGTGTGCGATAATTTTCTTGAGCAGAAATCTTTCTTTCCGCTTACAGCATGAACGTATGGCAACTGGCCATTATTTTCGACCATGGAAGTGTTATGCACTAGGTTTACCAATCTCTGGCACTCCGTGGTTACTTCTTGTAGTGTTATATTCGGACATTGTTCAATTTTACTCGAAATTCTGGTTCTAATGTCAGCATCTTCGGGAAACTGGAGGATGCACACAAACACGAGACACTAAGACTGGTCTTCTGTCATTGTTGATAGATTGAAGCGCTCACATTCACGGTCTACTAATCCCGCATGCTTCACCCAGTCATCATCACCTGCTTTTGTCATCTTGAGACATTGATAACGAGGGATGACTGTTCAGCAAAGATTTGCGACAAAATTTCAATCGTTGCATCAAAACAAAAATCTTTTGGATTCTTTGGAAGGATAAAGCTAATGTAACGTTCATGTTCACCCGTTCCAAGTTTTCGTAAGAGTATTCTGACCTTAGCGGCATCATCAAGTTTTTTGAGGTCGACCTTGAACAAGTCTTCGTATTTCTTGAACCAGGTTTCAAAAGTAATGCCAGCCGAATCATCGAAATTAAATTCATGGACAGAATTAATGATGTGGTCAACATGAGATTTGAAGGGATCATCTGTAAATTCTTTTTGATTCACGTTCATTTTCTGGGTTAGAATCTCTATCATGCGAATCTGGAAATGTCCGAAACGTTTTTCTTGACGTTCCAGCAAGGCTTCAAATTGTTCAAAGGTAGATGACATCTTGGTACGATAAGCCCGTCGCCAGTTGTTATATCTAGAAGGTTGTTCTTGATGTACCGCGTATAACGTGTGCACTAGAACGCCAGAACCATCTCAAGTCGCAATGAGAAGACAGAAGACTAATGAAAAAAAATTAACTCCAGACAGTGTCTATTTCACTAGTAAGCATTATGAAATATACAAGAATAAATGAAAATTGTAAAGATTACACAAAACATTTACATGATAAAGGTTAAGTCTTTGCATAAACCCATGTAAAATGCTTGTTCATGGGTATGCCAAAAAATTACATTTGAATAAGTCACGTCTGCAACAAATTTAAGTTTCGCAATGTTGAAGCATCACGTAAAACAAACATTTCGGCAATGGATGTACACTATGTTCTTCATGGAATACAGTTTGGGAGCATACATTACTGTTAAAAATTGAGCTGTCATGCTACTGATGTGCCGTGGATTGTGTTCCTAGTATAACCATACAGACGAAGAAAACCTCTAATATTTACTACTTTCTGGCAATTTGAAACTTCGAAACCAGAGGATTAAGATGAATAACACAAACAAAATGTATCAAAGCTTTAGAAAGCTATAACGAAGAAATCGACATGGTAATATTCAACCATAGTTTTACTATCCGCTTGTAAGCTGGTACTTTACAATGAATGAATCAAGTGATAATACATTTTGAATTAATGCTAACAGGACAATGCAATAACAAAAACGTACCAGTTTTTCTTCACTCGTATTTTGATTTTTTCGAAATGAAGAATCTTTAATCTTCGTTGAAGATGTTCTTGAATTGCTTTCAGCTGATAAATCTACAGGTTGAGAAGTTTCAGGAATTTGATTTTCGTCAGTTACGAAATCAGATTCGGTAACATTCTTATTCTCGGAATCGATAAGATCTGAATTAACCTGTTCACTACTTTCCCTTTGATTTATAATCGTAGAAGACGATGCACAGTTCAAGGAAACAGAACTGTCTAAATGTTCAGTATTATTTAAATCTAAATCACTCTGATTTGTTTTTTCAGCAACCAAAGAATCACAGTCATGGATGGGTAGCTCAACCTCTCTACGAAAAGTACCAGGTGATGATTTTATATTGTACAAATTGTAATTAACATTAGGTGATAAACCGATAGGTTGATTCATAGCACTGTTTGAAGTGGCAGATGTTTTTACTAATGGAGATGCTGTTAAACTACTGGAATCAAAAGATCTATTTGTTGGACTTTCTTGAGATAAAGGTTTGGAAAGTCTACAACATAAATTAAAAAGTGGGTCATAAAAGCAAAGAGCAGTAAATGTAATATTACTTATGTAGCACACAATTTAAAAAAATTTCGTTGGAAATCAAAAGCAATAAAAATGACGGTCAAATATTGATGTAGAAACGCTCCAATTTCCTTTACATGTGGTATATTTTTTTAAAATCAGCAACGTAATTATTTTTAATTTCAGGTTATTTCCAGAAAAGCCTCAATCAATGCACATAATATATTACCAACACAGTACCTTGTTCAAATGGTAGGCGAGTAATGTTAGTATTCCTTTTATTTTACTAACAACTAATGTAAACACTCTGATACAACAGTGCATCGAAAAAATTGATCATATGAACAATTAATATATCATCAAAATTTACAGCTTAATTTTACTAACATTTGGAAACAAAACTCACACTCTAAGCTGTGATTCAATATATTTACTATAATCCAAGTTAGGCACCACTTTATTTCGAAGCAATTTTCGTCGCCACTTTAGAACAGGACAACGAGATCTTGCACAAGCACAGTCCAAAGGATAACGACACGCCCGGTAGTCCAAGTCAAAAGGTATGGTTAACTCAGTCCCGGGCATTACTTCAACAGACGTACGAATTACAATTTTAAGTTTATTTTGAACAACGTAATGTTCGAGCTGCAGAATATCAGCAAAAAAATAAATAGTACAGAACATCCAATTACGTAATTATATAGAAAGATGAGATATAAACACACAAGAAAAGAAACTATACCAAACTATATAAAAACGCTTAAGAAATTCTGAAACGTAACATTATCTAGCAAAAACACACCACATCTATCTACTAGTTGAGTGTTAACCAGTTACTCAAGCTGCTCTTGCGTGTGTACCGCTCACACGACACCTAGGGGTTGCACAGGTGCCATCTGCATTTCCCCTACCCTTTCGGACACACAAGTTGGTTGGTTTGTTCTGCCTGATCACCGGACATCCGATCCGTAACCGCGTGTCGAGACACCCCCAGATGGGCATCAACTCAATCCCTCCAACCAAACCACTACCCACCCCTCCGTCGTCAACGGCAGCAGGGCGGATGTGAACCGGCCAACCCCGGGCATCCTATCTGGGTTACCGAGCTACCAGGGCCATGCACTAGCCCGCAACATTCGTCGCCAGCTTCACTAGTCCTTGCCGTCTTTACCGGATGATCGGGCCTCCCCGGCAGCACACATAAAGCCAAAGGATCAGTTCCGGATACGGGAGGTTCCGCTAGAACATACATGTTTCCAGGAGGAAGACTTCACGGACCCAGGTCAACGACATACATCAACCCAGGCGGGGCTCCACCATCACATTAGCCCTCAAGAACCAATGCAAGATGGGTAGAAGTCAGATGTGGCCGCGCGCACCCGCTACATATTGCCATGCCGGGTACCTTCTTCGGTGCACAACAGCCCCACTAGAGACTCGAAGGCCTCGACGACATTAAAGCCTTCACGCCGTTGTACCTAGGGTAATAACCACCGGGCAAGGGTACATACAGCCCAGCACGAAGCCAGGTGCATGCCATTTAGAAAGCTGGCCTAAAGACGTTCAGCCAGCTCTCAGGGTAACATCTACTATATTGAGTAGCTAAATATTGCTTACACCTGTTGCCTCTAGTGGAGGATAGGCCGCCAACCAAGATCTTCCAACGAAACTAATATCGGCAATCCAGTCTAGTTGTTTCTAAATGCTATCCATTCCTTTGATTTCTTCCCCAAAATCCACAGTGCAATATATCATTTGGTTTACCTCTTTTTGATTTGCCTTCTGAATCCCAAGTTGAAGTGTAGTTTAATTATCTCCGACTCAGTGTGCTTCTTGGTCTCCTTCTTTCCCTTTTCTTTTCAGGATTCTGAGTTAGGGTTAGCCCCATCATTCAATTTGGTGATTTCCGTAATATATGGCCTAGCCACTTTCAACGTTTTTTACAAATTTCCTCTTCAGTTGTAAGTTGGTTTGTTCTCTCCCACGATTGGCTATTACCGATTGTATCCGGCCAACAGATATTGAGAATCTTGCGTAGACCATTGTTTACTTCTTTGATGATTGTTATAGTAGTTCTCTTATCTCCAGGTCCGCACAGTAGAACTGTCTTACGTTCGTATTGAAGATTGTGACTTTAATGTTGGTTGACAGTTGTTTTAAATTCTATATTATCTTCAATTGTGGGAATGCTGCCCAATCCTGGCCTATACAGCTACATCAGATCCTGCTTGTTTATCGACGATGCTGTCCCGGTACATGAAAGATTCCACATCTTCCAGAACTTCTCCAACAAATGGGAATGGGTTGGTGCTTTCTCTATGTTGTATTTAGGGAACTTGGGTTTTTCTTGAGGATGTTGAGGCCTATTGATGCAATAGTTGATGCTATACTCAGTCAGTCAGTCAGTAAGAACGTAGAAATTCGTACGTACGTACATCAGTTTGAGTCCCCATATCACATTAGCACACAGATACAATTGTCGATTCAAATCCCGTAGTGGTAGAGGTAGTAAAAGTATAAGCAGTAATCGGAAACATAAGGGTTTGAAGATGTTATTCAAGGAGTATAATGCAGTGAAATAAATTTGGAAAGAGAAAAAAAGGCCATCAAGAATCCAGAAGATTATAATTTGGGATACCACAGAGTGGATACACCTGCACCATTGGAAACGATTTCGAGCCATGTCATTCAACGTCTCTAACCATCGAGTGCTATCATCTCGTAAATCCCAACTAGGTAGTCTACACCTACCAACATGGCTCGTTATACTTGTAAGTGACGTCACGGATTTGTGACATGTTTTGGTCTGGCACGTCGAGGCAGTCGGTGGTTGGGCATACGTAACATGTGTCCCAGACATCTCAACTGATGAAGTTTCACTACTTCATCAATTGATTTGCCATTCTAACCTAGTTCTCGTTTCCTAACGACTGCATAACATACTCACTGGTCCCAGGATATACGAGCAATGTTTCGGAGACATCTATGACCAAATATTAGTAATCCACGAAAATCATATACGCTTACAGGGCATGTTTCACTGCCATAAAGTAGAAATGAACGAAATGCTGCCCAACAAACCCGTCTTTTGGTTCGTAGAGGAATATCTCGCCTATGCAATAAATGTCAAAAGCTAGTCAAGCCTTCTGTATTTGTCACACAACAGACCTGAAGTAACATTTTGCATTTCGAGGGGGAGAATCGCAACCCGAACATGCCTGTATTGTTGCTTATAGTGGTCAAAAGACTGCATTTTGTCAGCGTCTTCGCCAAATAAAACTATGTCATCAGCATATTCTAAGTCAACAAGTGAATCTCCTGGTAGAAGTCCAACCCTTGGAAATTTAGATGAGGAAAGTGTTATCTCTAAAAGTACGTCAATGACAATGTTAAACAAGAATGGAGAGAGTGGACAGCCCTGACGAACACCACTTGATGTAATCAATTCTGATGACAGTTCGCCATAAGCTCTCACTCTTCCAGTTGTGTTCGAGTAGAGAGCCTGTATAAGGTTAATGTACTTCTTTGGTACTCCTTTCAGTGACAAACACTGCCATAAAACCTCACGATCAACAGAGTCGAATGCCGCCTTAAGGTCGAGAAATACTACCATTATGGGGCGTTTAAACGTGTGTCTGTGTTCTAGAACCTGACGTAGTGTGAATATCTGATCTATACTACCACGTCCAGGTCGAAAACTGGCCTGATTTTCTCTAGTCTGCTCTTCACGAGCTTTGGTAAGCCGTCGAAGTATTATTGAAGCTAATATTTTAGACATTATATTAGTCGAGCTGATTCCTTTGTGATTGTCACAAGAGGACTTTTGTCCTTTCTTAAAAACTGGCACAATCAGTGATTGAGACCAGTCAGATGGGATTACGTCCAGTTCCCAAATTCTACCTAAAACCTCAGTTAATCTCGCTGCTAATACTGGACCACCATCCTTAAAAATCTCAGGAGTAAATTTGTCAGGGCCTGCCGATCTCCCTCGCTTCAGATTTGCTATGGCTTTTTCAACTTCGTAAAGAGACGGAGGACCTACATTAACTTGCCACTCAGGTTGACTAGAGATCGTGGGAAACCGTAGTGTGGCTGAAGGCCAGTTGAACTGATCCGTAAAGTGTTCTGCCCATCGATCCAATCTCCTGGATTGAGAATGTATAATATGTCCATCTTTCTCTGAGAGTGTTTCGCTAACAGTCGGTTTCCTAATACCGGTTTTCTTAACAAGTCTGAACAATTATCTGCTATTACCTACTGCCGCTGCCTTTTCCATCTCTCTTGCTTTCGCTACTCACCACTGTTGACGAACATTGCGTAGACCTCTTGTCAGCTTGCGCTTAAGCTGACTCCGCTCCTCATCATGTTAAGAGCCAGGTGGAATGAGTTTCCGAGCATCTATCAGTGCGATAGATGCTGCTGAGATCCAGTGTTGCTCCCTAACATTACGGTTTACCGTACTAGCAGATATCACTGCTGTTTTCACAGCTTTTCGGATATCATTCCATGCTGCCTCGAGGTGGGCACCACATATATGGCTGCCTAACTGTTTTCCTAGTTGTTCCTGAAATATACTCTTAGTTTGACTATCGTTAACCAGGACCCTAAGAGGTTTCCTTGCAGCGTCTTTCTTACGTTCAGTAAGACGCAGGCATATACGCGCTCGTACTAGGGCATGATCTGAATCTAAGTAAGTGCTCCAGAATGAGCAACAGTCTTCTATCGAGCCCCTCCATCGGTGGCTGATAGCGATGTGATCTATTTGGGTCCAACGCTGGGACGAATTAGGGGGTCGCCATGTTAAAAGATTTTTTTTCTTATGCTTAAAGTTAGTATTTACAAGAAAGAGGCGGTTATCCGAGCATAACTGCAACAGACGGTCGCCATTATCTGTTCTTTGAGTCACGATGCTATGAGATTCACCCAGGTGTCTTTCCCTATCGCTTAGTTTACTTACTTGAGCCTTAAAGTCACCAGCCACTATTACTACATCTGAGCGCCTAGCTTTTTCGGAGGTCGGAAAGCTTTCTGTAAAACTCTTTTTTTATATCACCTGAGCTGCAGTCAGTGGGAGTATAGGCAGAGACGACGAAGAGGCAAGCAGAATCAAGGCTTCCAGATACACGAAGTGTGAATCGAGTCGGTTCTTTATTTTGGCATGGTGAGGTCAAATGAATGACGCTACTCGGATACTGTATGCGCGTTTTGGAGACGCAGCACACATCGATGGCGCGGGATTCTAAAGTCCTAGCTAAGGAAGCTTGTTGTCCTATTTGGCACAATGTTCGGACGTTAAAAGCTCCTACGTGTAGTTTAGAGCGTGGTTTCAGTAGACCAGGAATAACGTTCCGCGTACTCAAATCGTTTGCCCTGGCGGTGCGAGGTGATAAATAGAGGCGAGAAGGGTTAGTCGTGGAGATAAGAGAGGTATTAGAAGGTGTAGGAAGGAAAATAGTGTGACCGACTTGATCTCGTGTGCTATTACGGGTATGAGGGCTGATGTCACTTCCCGGCTGCCCACACCGTGGAAGGGTATTTCTTGAGGAACCTAAAAATGAAGTTGGATTAATGTTGGCCTGTGTGACTGCAGAGCCCAAGGGACAACTGCTTGAGGCCGGTCGCGTACGACCTATTCGTGAGAGGCTTTTAATGTGTTAACTCCATTCTTCAAAGGGCATTACCGCCGGAGACGGAAATCCGTGAGGTGTGACATTTTTAGGATCAACCTTTTGTAACTTCTTCCTTCCTTGTGAGAAGGCAGCATCTCTGCAGATGCTGGTTGTCTGAGGGAAACACCTTACTGCTGTCACACCTTCCTACAGTCATTAGTACGACTTCGCCCTCAGACCCTGAGTTGCTGCTTTTAGTCTCACCGTTCTCCAACCGACCTGCCTGGCATGGTAGAACCTACAGGAATATATGTTCCAGCCAATATAGCTCGGTTGAGTCATCAGGTTAGGCAAGCCTGACCACCGCGTCAAGGTAGAAGCCACGGTCGTGAGCTGCTATATTATTTGTTTTTATCTGCATTTTTTGCTGTGTATATGATGGAAAAGCGGGGTCATCTGCGAAGTTCAAATCGTCTCGTTGCATCCAATCTGTACAATGTATCCCGTGCTTCCATTTAAATGTGGAAGTCTTTATAATCAATACGACCATCTGAAGAATGAGAAAGAGAGAGGACAAGCAGTCTTGTCTGATACCAGTGTTCACTAGGAATGCATCTGTAGGCTGTTCTCCATACATCAATTTGCAGTGTAGTGTATCGTATGATGTTGACGATCTTGCCAGCTACGCCATAGTGTTGAATACGATTGCGTAACGTCTTTCTCCTATCCATACCATTAAACGCCTTCTCATAGTCAATGCATAACAACGGTTTTCAATAAATTGATTGTTCAACAATGACCTGTGGTGTGATTTGGTGTGTGTAACACCGATCCTTACGGCATCCAACCTGTTGATCTCAATGTTGGGTGGCTATTGAGTTTTTTACCAGTTCAGAAGCACTTTGTTGATTACGTCTCCTGGTATCGATGGCAGTGTAATGCCTCTGCAGTTCTCACACTTGCTCAGATATCATTTATTGACGATATATCCTACATTCTAGTCTGTTGGAACTTATTCCCCTCCTTCCAAATCTTCCTGAATAGAACGTTGAGCATGTTCGCAGTCAGTGTTATGTCCAACCCCAGTGCTTCAGCTGGTATGTTGTCTGTTCTTTCTACATCGCACTCTTGATTTGTCTGCTGATTTCCTCGATCGTTGGAGAAGTAACATTTATAGGAAGGTCTGTGTGTGTTGCTTAGTAGGGTTGTCTATTCAAGAGTTACTCAAATTGTTTTGCCCATCTGTCCCGCAATTCTTGATTTGCCCTCTTTGTCTCTGATTTACAATATTTCCTTGCTAGTTATCTCATATTTCCTTCTCAGTAACCTTTTCCGCTGTCATTCCTAGGTCTTCCACGTATTTCTATTTGTCGGCTCTAATGCCACTTTTCATTCTTGTCTGCTTCTGTGTATTCGATCTAAGCCTTGACTCTCTCTCTCTTCTCTTGTTCGACTGTTAATAATTGTTGTTTTCTACCTTTCTTGAGTCCTGACTAGGGTATCGATAGAAATTCATTTTTTATGACAGTTCTTCTTGACGTGCTGAAGTCAGTGCTTCTTTGGTTTCTTTCGAGTTATCCTCCAAAGTAGTCCCCTTCCCTTCGAGTAGATCTTGACATGCTTGGGACCTTTTATACAGAGCTATTTTGCGTTCGCTAAGTTTGACAGTATCTCTAGGGAAGGCTGTATGAAACCTTTGTAGTGTTGTTTCTTCATTTGTCCAGTGCTTCTTTAGCTTCAGTTTGGTCGTGGCAACTACTAGGAGGTGATCCGAAGCTGTGTCGGAATCTCACTTATTCCTCACGTCTTCCATTGTCTTTCTGAATTACTTAGTGATACAGATATGATCGATCGGATTTTCTGTGGTGTGATCAGGTGAGATTCATATATTTTGTGAGTGTTTTTGAAGGAATATGAGTTTGCAAATCTCTCACCATTCTCGTCTCTTTCTTCCAGTTCGTCTTCCCATGATATCTTCGCATCCGGTGTTATCCATTCCGACCTTGACGTTTAGGTCACTCATCAGGATGATCAGGTCTTTTCGTTGACACTTCACAACGATCTACTGCAGCCCTTCATACAACTGATATTTATCGTCGTCATTGCTGTCATTGGTGGGTGCATAGCACTAGACAACATTCATCGTGATACCGAAATTCTTTATTTTGAAGAATGCTAAATATTATCAACGGTCTAAACAGAATGGTCTTGACTCCAGGTTAACAAACGGAATCACACTGATTGCCGATCTATAAGGATCGAATAAGTGCCGTTTGATTAGTCATTCTAAATAATAAACGACCTGTTTTGAAATTCGCAAATTAGGTGATACACAGATTTTTGTAAACAATAAATATGGTTAAAAGACCTTGATTCAAACCTACTCTACAGTTTGGAATACATGAACGTCGAACAAATCGTGCACTATTTCCATATTGACTAGAGTCAATGACAACCGTCCGATCGCCGAACCCACGATAAAACATAACGTAACGATTATAGCTGTTAAAAGAGATAACGAAATTTATGTGTTATTACAGTTTTAAATCTTCCCTTTACCATACAACAGTGGATGAACGACAATCAATCAACTAGACTAACTTTTTAGCTAAACGAATTATTATATATATATATATATATATATATATATATATATATATATATATATATATATATATATATATATATATATATATATATGACTGAAAACTAAAAAATGCGAAGAGAAGCAAAACATATATAATATGTGTGGCACTAATAATAAGAATTGAAAATTAGGAAAAAATTTCTATGATATACTTACTCGGAAACAGGATCTACATAGTGTTCATATTCTTCCATCAGTAAGAAATGACCTCGAACTTCAGTCACAACTTCATTCGGTGCTAATCTGATTGATGCTTCTAAGCCCTGTTGACAGAATAACAATCGGTTAATGTCCAATGTTTAAGTGTAGAATTATAAATGCTAATTGGTACAAGTAAAATAATGGGAGCAAAAGTAAACAAGCTGCAGCGTTTGGGGTAATTTTATTTCTTCACAACGAATACATGGGGTTTGAGCAAAATATGCCATCGTGGTTGCATTATGAAATAAAATGCTTAAAGGAACATACGCGTGACCTTATATATTAAGTGTTTGGAAGCAACTGATATTTGTGAAAACGCTCATTGAAAGAAATTAATAACACTGATTTTTATGCGAATGCTATTATTTATTTACTAAGGAAAAGGAAGACAGAAGACTATGAGAGGAACACTACCAGTTATTTTGAGCTCACGATTTATACAAAATATTTTAATCCATACAGCCGAATAGGATTTAGTATCACACTGAAGGTGTTGTGATCTTTAACACTTAACAAAAATAGTGAACCGAACTGAATTGGACCAATATAGAAAACCTGGAAGTAATGAAGGGCTTATATAAAGATCCTAGTCAAATAAAAGGAATTCACACAAGCTTTTGTTGTATTTTACTGAAATGACATCTGACGAATTAAACAGGATACCAAGCCGTTTAGTCTTATTTTACGAATAATTAAAACATTATAATACTAAACGCTTGAGACTGAGTATTTTTTGACTGTCATTAAAACTACTATGATCGCTTTTTTCTCCTACCAATAAGTTTTGCGAGTATGACCATAAATTATACGAAAATAGTGATAGGTTCAAGGGTTTTCGGAATATGTGCTCAACACCGGCCTACGTTAATACTAATTTTCGCTCAAATATCTAAAGATATAGTACATATATGGAAAGTTGTAAAAAAAGTTCTTCTTTCTGGGCTACTCAGATACTCAAAACATAAGTATCTTACGCCCATAGATTTTTTGCCTCTAATGTGTGACTTGTTAAAGTGATAAACCTTAGTTTATTTTTATCTAGTAGCTGTCAATCCTGCAGGTTCTCATTTGTCCATACAATGGATTTCACAAACTTGTCCAACTGTAGCAGGTTAACATTTATTGATGCATTATAACTATATCCTCGGAGTCTTAGAGAGTTCTCATTTTTCGATTATTTGTCGCTTACTTGAAGACACATAGGTAAAAAAAGTAGAGAATATTTCTAATGTGTTTTAAGTTTCATCAGTTGTTGATCATTTATATAATCATTTACCTTTTCCCATTTGGCTTTTAAAACGATGTGACGACTTTTTACATAATCCAAAAGAAAAAAGTAATCATAAGACGACATAACTAGAGGCCTGTTAAACATGAATTGGAAACACATCACTACTACTATTTGTGTAGCAGAAGTACCACAAAATACACAGGTCAACAGATCCATCATCAAACAGTTAAATATTTTAAATTTAATAAAGGCAATGACGTAAATACAGCTAAAACTGAATTATTATTATTATTATTATTATCGGCTTTATTCAATATTATATTTTTTGTACAATATAGAATTTTCAGCGCAAAGTATTTCAACAAGTTTCCGTTTCTTTCTTATTGGTCGGTCCTGGCGATAAATATTGAGTGATCGCCAGTTAGATGTTAGCAGTTCATTAAATGTACACAGAATAATGTACATTCTTTTGGTTGTATATTGCCAGCAACCACATTGTCTCTTATTGAGTTTTTTGTAACTTTGACAACGAAAGGTTGTGCACTTTTCAGAAACGCAGCAGAATAGGTTATGCGATTAATAGACATAACGATACATTAAAACAAACAAAAATAGATAACTTGTTGAAATATCTAAATGTCAGGAACAGGTGGCCCAGATGCTCGAGCAGGCCGCCCTTTATGAATTAAAAGAACATATTATTCATCAACATTGCAGATTAATCAGAACAAATTAGAAAGTGTTCACAAAGTGAACACAAAGCATCATGCGTATATTTCAGTATGAATTTATTGAGAAATATAATCATATTGTGTAGTAAATTACCTTATCATTATGATCAAAAAGGACAACTCGACAAAGCGAACTCCGAGTTAAGCATGCCGGGGGGATTTTATGATTTCGCTCGACGCTAGCAGATCTACAAGTACAAGTTGAAAATTGGAACTGATGCAGTTTAAACTGGTCAATAATTTTTAGTTTTAATACCAAAAGAAACGACAAACACTGTACAAATAAAATATATGACATTTAAGGTGGGCAGGTTTATTGAAGATAAGGTTTTAAGTACACTACGATCAAATACAGATTCGTGTAATATGACCCAGGAATCACACTTTAGCATGAAGGTTAGTGATATTCTGTTGGTTGAATTTAAGTAGGAGTATGGTATAGTTAAATCATACTTAACCTAACCTTCAGTTTTAATTTAATAGGTATTCAAAAATTCAGAAACGATATTATTACTATAGCAAAAAATAGAATTACGTAGGATTTGATACGTGAGGTTTAGTTAACTTTATAAAAAAGAACCATGATGAAAATATAAATAAATGTTGATTATACAAATTTAACTCAATAAACATGGCGATACAATGTGAGTCGAATTTATGTGGATATTAAAGTATGTTTTATATCCTGTTAACTAACTCATTGACGCGTTCATGCACTGTGACAAAACTTTCATTAGTTTGAATTCAATACCACGGATGATAATAATTTATATTTTTACCCCCTACCGCTAATTAAAGTAAGAACACCCGTTTTGTAGACGAGTTATTTTTTATGTTCGCTAAGTGTAACCAATCAAAAAACATCAAGTCTGCTAATTGTATTATCAATAAATAGTGTTTAGAATATTTAAAATGAGTGATTGACGCAATATATTGTGAAAATGCATTGAAACGCCGTGAATTGTTCACACTGAATAACTTACTGTAGTAATATTTGGACGTGATCGATATTAATTTGCTTTTATTAAGTTGTAATTTGAGGTTGCGTATCCCAAAAATTTATAGACAGCATCAGATAAAAGGTTAACAGATCCTCAGGAAACTTAGCAATAGCAATCAAACTGTATATGAGTAACTAAAAAACAAGCTAAACTATTCGATTTTGAACTAAAAATTTAGATTAACTCAGTGATATTGTTTGGTTGCCCAAATGGAAGCGAAATTCGTATCTATAATTCAGGTGCTTTAATAAATAAAACCCCCATTGAAAGTGGTACATGGGATTTCAAGATTAAACATTTAAAAACAATTAAAATTTCAAATCTAAGAACTATATATCATTTTTTTTATTTATTTCAACACATAAATATTGGTACAAGAGGGCACCAAATATATATGCGCCACACCATATTTCTGTGTGTGGGCTGTGATACTGCCCGGGTGCCCAGACCGAAGCAGGTAGTTTTCTTAGGGGGCCACACACCGAGCCTTTGACCTAAAGTTTTGACCCACAGGGCAGTGGAGCATCGTCAAGAGATGCATTCTCATGGTAGCCGGTGACCAACGATTGGTTCATAAGCCATTTGTTCCTGCAGGATACTGGAGCCCATGAGCACCATTGGTTTGGTTCGCTTTTCGTCCTTCCATTTTCGTAAATAACACCCCCGCCACGAGAAGGACTTCCCTTCGATTGAGTACTGGCGCTAAAGATGCTACCAAAACACTGTCTTCGCCAAACAAAAGTATGTCATCTGCGTGTTCCATAAGATCTGAGTTGACTGATAGTGTTCGAGTAAAGAGCCTTCACAAGTTTTATGTACTTCTGAGATACGCCTCTCAACGACAGACAGACATTGACACAGACACAAAACATCTCGATCTACAGAGTCAAATGCTGCTTGCAAGCCGAGAAAAACCATCTTTTTCAGACGCTGATAAGCAAACCTTTGTTCTAGGATCTGACGAATGCCGAACATGTGATCGGTGCAGCCACGATCAAATTCGTAGCCAGACTAATTTTCTCGTATATTCAGTTCATGAGTCTTTGTTAGGCATCCGATAATTATTGAGGCCAGTATTTTAGACGTTATATTAGTCAAACTAATCCCTCCATGGTTATCACATGATGATTTTGATCCCTTCTTATGTTTTGGGACAAACAGTGGTTGCGACCAGTCTGATGGGATCACATCTAGTTCTCAGATTTTAGCTGGAATATTAGTCAGCCTAGTCGCTAAAACTGGATCACCCTCTCTTGAGACCTATGGAACCAATCCATTTAGACTCACTGTTCTTCCGCGTTTCAGATTAGCTGTAGCCTTTTGAACTTCAGGTAGAGTCGGGGGACCTACTTCAATGTTCAATTCAGGCTGACTGGGAATGGAGGGTAGTTGTAGAGTAGCTGAAGGCCAGTTAAACTGTTCTCTAAAGTATTCCATCCATCGTTCTAAACGTCTGGACTGGGTGGGAGCAAATGAGAGTGTCGTCTTTTTCCGAGACAGTCTCACTTACACTTGACTTCTGAATTCCGGTTTCTTTTATTAGTCCTAAAAGCTGTCCTATGTTACCTACAGCCGTTATTTTTTCCATCTCTTTTGCTTTCGTTGCCCGCCACTACTCAAGATCGTTCCGTAGGCTTTTAATTAACCTAGATCTGATTTGTTTTCGCTCTTCATCGTGTTCAGAGCCTTATGGGATGAGTTTACGAGAGTTTGTCAGTGCAATAGATGTCGCGGAAATCCACTGGTTTATCGTAACCCTTTGGTTCAAATCACCAATAGATATCGCTGCAGTTTTCAGGGCTGTCCTTATATCTTTCCGAGCAACAACTGGGTCAGCCTCGTTGTCGGAATTGACTGGGTGTGACTTCAGTTGTTTCTGGGACTTATCTTCGCCCTTTTCATCGTTGAAATCAATTCTAGTGGATTTACTTAGTGTGGCTTTTCTGTATCCAATGAGGAGCAAACAAGTGAGTACATGTTTTAGAACAGTCAGAATCTAGATATGTATTCCAGAACAAGCGAGTCTTCTGAGTCATTGTTAACTGTTTGTCTCTTCTGAAAATTCTTTATTTTCATCAAGTCGACATTTATCATCCATAATTCTTATATATGATTTACTGTTTCTCATTACCATTTAAATAATCACAATGTAAAAATTTCGATAACTAAATTTTTCAAATGTCTGTTATGCAGTAGTTGAATTCATGAGTCAGTTGATGGTAAACCACCATGGAAAACCTGGATGCACTGAACGGCCGGTTCGTCCCAGTAGGAGACTCCTCAGAACGGAGCATCCACGATGCTACTCGCGGGACTCGAATCCAGGACCTATTGGTCTCGCTCAAATGCCTAACATTTAGACCACTCTGTAATTGATGAAATACTATTATTTCTTAAATAACTATAAAAATACGAATAAAAGACTTTAATCAATGAAATAATATACATATTAGAGATCCAAAATTTTATTATTAGGCATACTTTACTGTAAACACTGATCGATCAATTACTGCACAACCGGTGTACCGGACATATTGAGTTTTAAAATCTACAGATATTGAGTAACCTACTTAAAACCCTTATCATAAAAGGGTGTATTTTTAAATGATTTTCATGTTTTTCGTTCAAGTATTTTTTTTTAAAAGTAAAGTGTTACTTATCAAAACATTATACACGTTTCGTTTATCATTTGTTTACCAGCTGATTTAAGCTCATTTGGAAAGCTCATTTAAGCTCATTCATGAGCAACCATCACTATGATTTTTAGAGTAAAACTGTGCTACAGCAACCTTGGTAGGCATGTTAACAGCTTTAAAACAATGTAGAGACTCTAGATCACGTTATTACCTTTTCATATCAGGTCATTATTCCATACTCCAGACCAGACAGTAGACAACATCAATTATTTTCAATATTGTATATAAGCATGGTATTATTATATATAAACTGATGAAAGGTACACGATTTTTAATTATTATTTGGATGATTTCAGTCATTGATATTGATGACAATGTTTGAATCAATCAAATTCCACAAAGTCTTTTACTGAAAGAATTTATATGGGTTACATGGGACCAAATTTTATGCACGTGTCAAATATGAGGTTTGTTTCATCATTATACCGACTAACTGAGAACAACAAGCAAATGACTGAACTAAAGTCCCGTAAAACTAGGAAGTTAACGAACATAACCAGTACCATTTTATGACTGTTGTTTAAGTAACAACAATATACTTACATTCTACTCTGTATACGTTCGAGCAGAGCTTTCGTATAAACATTATTTTCAGCTTCCTGATAGTCCTTAGCCCAAGCTGCACCAAGAGGATTAGTTCGAGCGTCAAAACGACGCTTCGTTGAATTGGAGCCATCGGAAAACAGAACTCTTCTACAGATAAAAAGAAATCGAATACAATAAACAAAAGAACAAACAACACAAAAACTATTGAACAAGACCACTTAAGTGTTAGGAACATGTTACATGTAATTGTAACTTATCACTTCTTCACAATCTATACACACCTTAAGCTTTCTGTAACTGTATTCGATGCCGAATAAGCGTAACAAGATGAGAGATAATCTTTCGGCTGCTTTGCGAGATGTATTAGTAATTTTAATTATTCCACTAAAGCTAGTTACCAAAACCATTAAGGTGTTAGACATATCGATTGTTGGATCCGTGTACAAATCAAATTGTAATCGCATATAATAAAAATAGGAACATTAAGCTATTTGGTTGACACAAGCAATGATGATTGTAATACAACGCTTAACATCTAACATGCATCATAAATTCCATAAAAATCTATATTGATGGACTGAATCATGTAAATGTGGCATTATTACCATTTTGTTGCTAGAGTCAATCAGCAACCAATTTTGAATAAAGCAATATGATGTTGACTATTACTCAGTGGTCAATCGGTGTTATTAGTTTATCTTATTGCATAACACTTCGATTAGATTTCGTATTTTTCCACACTTGTTTTCTCAGAAATAAAACTGAATGATTACTTCTTGTTCGAAATACTGAAACGGCAAACTATTTTGGCAAATAAGCAAAGATGGATAGTGACTAGTAGTGGAGTCCAGGACGCGCGTTTCGTCCTATTTGGGACGCATCGGCCGGATGTACTGGCATCTCAGAGTTGGTGTTCACTCTGGGACTCGAACCCGGTATCGCTCGCTTCAAATGCTATCGCGATATCCACTCAGCTGCTGATGGCGTTTGAAGCGAGCGGTACCGGGTTCGAGTCCCAGGGTGAACACCAACTCTGAGATGCAGATACATCCAGCTGATGAATCCCAAATGGGACGAAACGCGCGTCCTGAACTCCACTACTAGCCACTATCCATCTTCGCTTATAAAGCTTGTGAATTAAGGCAATATCGAGGCAATACACACAGTATGTACATATGCCAATAACAGACTGATCAATTGCAATCTTAAACGTCAATGGGATGATTCAAGCAAAACAATACCAAGTGTATTTTGGCAAATATTTACTTTTTGGGGATTTCAGGAATCATGAGAAAATATTTTAAGGACTTGATATTTAAAATCAGATTAACAACTGATTTCACATTTAAGGTCAACATAACTACCATGCCATGTTGTAGCATGGACATTATCATACACATTCTTATCAATCAGTAATCATACTTTAGATGCTTCCAATAAGCTGGCAAGTGATTCCTACCATTAATGGATAACAAACGTGTAAATACATAAAATAAATGATGAAAAATTGATTACCCATATTCTACATTTCAGTGATATACATCAAAAAAATGTTAAGCTACTATGCAATATATATTCAGTATTATTCAGACTACTTCAATGTATGGGAGCGTAATATCCCAGAATGAAGATTAAGAACATTTGATACTATTATAAACCTATACATTGGTCAGAGTACAACACAGGTGTAATCATAAAAATGACCTATTCAATTCAACATTTCTTTTAGTAATTAAATATGAATATTATGCAAAAAGTTAGTGTTCGGATTTCAAATGGTTACAGAAATGATAGTGAAACAGCATTAAAAAAACTTCCTGAGCGTTTCAAACATCAAAACTTATAGCAGATGTAGAGACTAAAACTGATGAATTTCCCTTTCAGCTGAAAACTTCCTTCAGTTTACTGAAAAAATAGAGTAAATAAATGCAGTATGAGTTACCTGACTTTATTAGTTGAACGATCAATACCTAGTCTGTGACGACGTGGACTGCCTTCTACACCTGAAGAACTACTGTATCCAGAACCAGGTGTAAGCGTGCCACCAGGTGTACTTGTGGGAGTGACGGGAGTGAGTGGTAAAGTCCCTGGTTTCATTGGAGTATTTGATGGTGTGCTCGAAGGTGTTACATCTACAGAAGATGACTCATCACCACTATTTGGTAAAATAACGGTAGTGTTGGAATTTTGTTCAGAGGACGAATCGGCTGCGGCAACTTCTGTGTCATTATCTGGAAAAGTAAGCATGAATAAGATAAACTAATTTAATAGAACCAAAGTTCTTCTCAATGGAACAAATTGAGGTGATTCCTTGAAAACGGAGAAATGTTTCGAGGAACAACTCGTAAACTACACTGAACAAACATATAGATTAGAGATTACATGCATATTCAAAACAAACGAAGACTGCTTTCAAAATCCTAAAAAAACGAACACAGGTTTAGGAAGATAAGTTAAAGAACAACTTGTCATGTATTATAAGAGGAATAACGAATTATGCAGAAATATGAAACAAATAAATATAAAATAATGCTACTAAAATATGTGTGGTCAAACGTCGTCTACACAGTTTCAACTAATGCGGAATACAGGCTTTGTGGACACATGTATACGAGAGATAGAGACAACGATACAGATAGTACTAAATTACAACATTAACAAGACAACAAATCAAAAAGAGAGTGAAATCACTTACACGATGTAGAAGTTAGGTCTTGCTTCCGCTTGGATGCTCTTGGAGGAGATGGCATTCTCAAATTGACATCTGTATCACCATGATGCCTGCGACCAGAACGAGAAATTTCGTTCTATGTAAGGAAATACAGAATTGTCTCACGACTAATGAAAACTTCAACGGAAAATGAAAGTTCACGCTTAAAGAAACATGTTTTTTACATACCGAATATATATATAATCTCCAAGAAAGCACCGAATGCATGTAATTTATTAAAAATCAGAAAGTAGTAATACTAAATAACAAAATATACATGAATAAGATAATGTAATTTAAGGGGTACAGATTTATATACCCAGGCCTTTGAGCTAAATATTACTTGTGAGAAACAGCAATATTACTAGTCTGCCAAAGTTTAATTAAGTGAAGCAGGACTTTGAGCCTGTGACCTACTGGTTAAAAGTTGAACGTCTCGGCAACTACTGTCACCGCTCCACAGAACAATAACAGGATGCAGTGTATACACATAGCATACAACCGAAAAACCAAACATACTGACTTTACAGAATTTTAGAATGTTTATATGTGATTGAAATTCCAAAATTCTACACTAGTAATCAGAAAATATTGCTATCAAAATTATTCGCCTATTTTTTAGCACATAATATATGATCACACTATAGTTGAGTACCAGTAGGGTATATCAGTTTCAAAACCAAACCCATAGTGAACATTTGGTCAATAACATACGCAGTCAGATAGTAAATGTCTAGTTTTCTATCATTTCTGTTTCAAAACAGTATTTGGGCTTCGGCTGATCATCGAAACTAATATCTTGTACTGTATTAGAACTTTTTCACTGTAGTTACTACAAGAGAATTTCTGTCTTTTCTTAAAACTAAGACGACAGACTATCGAGATATGTCAGATAAAACTGCGTCCAACTAATAGGTTTAATCGAAGATTTTCATTCATCTAACTGACAGCATTCGACCACCATTGCTAAAAATAATTAGAGTTAAACACCTGCTTAAAGTTAAATGAGGCTATTATTGACTAAGTTGATGCTGATGAACATTAGATTTTATAAAAAAACTTACATGTTAACGTAAGTTACAAACTGAGAAGACAAATATCATAAACTAAAATAACAGGAAGTATGTGATTTCAGTGTTTTGCTCCAAGTTCTAGAAACCCTACAAAAACAAGACTTTGAACAGTTTATCAGTTTTCCTAATAAGATTTCATATTAGCCATTCGATATTTTTAATTTTGTTTCATTATCATTTAAATTGTTCCTAGCCTCACCAATTTTTCCCAATTCACAGATGACCAACCAGAACGTCCAGTAGTATCATGTTCTTTTACAACAGAGTGACTAGACCAAGACCCAGAAAACGTAGAACCATCAGCATCCAGTTTGCAGTTATTCGACAAAAGACCCAATCTTTTCGCTCTATCAGCAGCAACTTCTACATACTGAGCTCCAATGTTCCCATCAGAAGATTGAGTCAATTTTATTGACGAATTATTAGCAGCATCAATAAAATTCGTAGTATCATCATTTAGAGCAATACAATCCTTGCTTGCATTGGCATTTGTTGTTGTGTCCGATGATTGATTAGATGTACCTTGAAATTCAGTATTTTCATTTCCACATACATTGCAGGTATATCCATCACTCAATCGAGGCATAGTAACATTGTAATATGACTCCATACACTGTACATGTTGACAAGTACTAAAGTAAAACATTCAATAAAAAAGATAAAATAACACAAAGGAAACTCTTCAATCAAATGAAAAACATTTAACAATTGGCTTGTAAATTACTGGATGTTTATCACATCAATTTTGCTTGATTACAAATCGATAGCTAATTATTTACATAAAGTGAAGAGGAAATGAAATAGACAAATTTGTTATTGTAACACAGTCAAAACAGATTACTGTTTGATAATACGATGCTAAATCGCATACTAAGATAGCTTAAAAGTAAAATGATAAATAAGTGCTTATTGAAACTAATTACTGAAATTAAGAGCAATTTTGCGTCACACATTTCGATATGTAAATAGTGGGTGCATTAGTTTAAGCCGGGAAACTTGCTTTTCATTAATACGTTTCTTTCCATCATATGAACGACATATTTTACGATGACTTGTACAAATTGTATCAAGACAGATATACTACATCGTGTCGATTAAATCATTAACATTTGATTCGACGACGTGCGAAAACTTTTATGTTGTTTGAATAGATAATACATCAATAGTATTCATTTAATGTAAAAGTTTTGTAAACTATTATTAGGAAACTAGATTTTCCAGACCACACAATATTAACTGAGATGAAAGTTTCACAACCGTGATGCTATTCAGGGAACATTCAAAATGTTTAGTAATCGCAAAAATAATTTTATTTATCGCTTTATGTGATACATTTGATCAAACTTGTACAATTTCTCTAAGATTTATCCGCATATTACCAACCAGCAGAGGAATACTAACAAGATATCCAGACCAATTTACGCTTCACAAACTACTGGATAACTTTAAAATATAGAAGGCACCTGAACAAATGCTTGAAGTAACTCTCTAGTCATGTCGGTTAACGCTGCTAGCATGCTTACCCTCGGTGGAGAAAGGACGAGCAGCGAATCTGTTCACAAACAAAATGGTACCTCCAGAACAACCCTTCCACGGTGTGGGCAACCGGGAAGTGATAACCGCCCTCATACCTCTAACAGCACTCAAGACCACTGTATTCATAATCAACCTTCGTTTTCACTTCCTATTATTCCTCCTACATCGACTTTCAACTCTAAATTTCCTCTCTCGGCTTCCACCTTAAGTGTCACCATAGCCAACGATTCTAGTGCGCAAAACTGTCCCAGGTCTACTGAAACCTCGCTCCAAACTACACATTGGAGCCTTCAACGTACGAACCCTATGTCAAATCGGTCAGCAGGCTTCCTTGGCTAAAATCCTAGAGTCTCTTACCATTGACGTGTGCTGTGTCTCCGAAACACGCATATAGGATTCCAGTGTGCTTATTCAATTGACCTCACCTCGGCAAAACGGAGAGCCAACGCGATACACCCTTCATGTATCTGGTGACCCGATGGCCAGTTCTCGTGGACTGGCAGGTGTAGGCATAGCACTAAGCATGAGGGCCGAACAAGCACTGTTAGAGTGGACCCCCGTCAACAGTCGTCTATGAGCTGTTCGGCTAAACCGCTACGTAAGAACTCGGAAGGACAGGGACACACGTCGTTGCCTTTTTGTCGTTTCAGTCTACGCTCCCACTGACTGCAGCTCAAATGAAGTGAAAGATGAATTTTACAGAAAGCTCTCTGAACTTCCTCAGACAGCTAAACGTTCAGACATAGTACTCGTAGCAGGTGACTTTAATGCCCAGATAGGTAGTTTAAACCAAACAGAAAGGCATTTAGGTGGGTATTTTAGTATACCGGCACAACGAGCAGATAATGGTGATCGTCTGCTGCAACTATGCTCAGACAATCGTTTATTTTTAGCATCGTCTAACATGGCGACCCCCTACACCAAACCAACGATGGACTCAAGTAGACCATATTGCCATCAGTCATCGTTGGAGAGGGTCGGTACAAGATTGTCGCTCTTTCTGGAGTACCTGCTTGGACTCCGACCATGCCCTAATACGGGCACGCATCTGCTTGCGCCTCACTGGACGCAAAAAAGCCACATTAAAAAGACCCATTAGAACTGAGTTGAGTAACGAGAAAGCCAAAAGTAAGTTCCAGGAACAACTGAGGTCACACTTAAGAAGTTCTGAAAACGAGGCTGACCCAGATGTTGCTTGGAAAGGCATACAATCAGCTGTGGAAACAACAATGAAATCTATTAGTGAATTAACCAACACAGTTACAAAGAACCAGTGGATTTCATCAAAGTCTATCACACTGATGGATTCTCTCAAACTCGTCCTATCAGGTTCCAAATATGATGAAGAGTGACAACAAATCAGATCTAGGTTAAGAAAAAGTCTAAGAAACGACCATGAGCAGTGGTGGGTAACGAAAGCAAAAGAGATGGAAAAGGCGGCGACTATAGAGAACACAAGACAGCTTTACTGACTATTAAAAGAAACTGGAATTAATAAGTCAAGTGTAAGTGAGATTATTTCGGAAAAAGACGATACTCTCATCTGCTCTCAGTCCAGACGTTTAGAACGATGGGCGGAACATTTTAGAGAACAGTTCAACTGGCCTTCAGTTACTCTACAACTACCTTCCATTACCAGACAGTGTGAATGAAACATTGAAGTAGGTCCCCCAACTCTTGCTGAAGTTCAAAAGGCTATAGTTAATCTGAAACGAGGAAGGGCAGCTGGTCCAGATGGATTAACTCCAGAGGTCGTTAAGGATGGTGGTCCAATTTTAGCGTTTAGGTTGACTAATATTTTAGCTAAGATCTGGGAATTAGATGTTATTCCATCTGACTGGTCGCAATCACTTATCGTCCCAATATATAAGAAAGGATCAAAATCATCTTGTGACAACCATAGAGGGATTAGTTTAACAAATATAGTCTCTAAAATACTAACCTCAATAATAATCAGACGCCTAACTAAGACTCGTGAACTGCAAACACGAGAGAACCAAGCTGGCTTCAGACCTGGTCGTGGCTGCATTGACCACATATTCACTATTCGTCAGGTTCTAGAACACAGGCTCACTTATCGGGGACCGACGATGGTGGTCTTTCTTGACTTAAAAGCAGCATTTGAATTTGTAGATCGCGAGATTCTGTGGCAGTGTCTGTCATTGAAAGGCGTACCTCAGAAGTACATAAACCTTGTAAAGGCTCTTTACTCGAACACTACTAGTCGAGTCAGGGCTTATGGCGAACTGTCATCTACTTTTGCAACCTCAAGTGGTGTCCGTCAAGGCTGTCCACTTTCTCCATTTCTATTTAACTTCATCATAGACCTATTGATGGAAATAACATTCTTGTCTACTGAATTCTCATGTATTGATCTCCTACCAGGAGGTCCACTTATCGACTTAGAATACGCATATGACATAGTCCTGTTTGGTGAAGACGCTGATAAAATGCAGAGTCTTCTGGCAGCACTAAGCAACAATGCCAGAATGTTTGGAATGCGCTTCTCTCCTTCCAAATGCAAGTTGTTGCTTCAGGACTGGTCTGCATAAACACCTGAACTAACGATAGGGAGTGAAGTAGTCGAACGCGTTGACAACTTCACTTATCTTGGAAGTCTGATCAGCCCTAATGGGTTGGTATCGGACGAAATCTCAGCACGGATTCGGAAAGCTCGTTTGGCTTTTGCCAACTTACGTCATCTTTGGCGAAGGCGAAATATCCGTCTATCAATAAAAGGACGAGTATACTGCGCAGCAGTTCGTTTTGTTTTACTTTATGGCAGCGAAACATGGCCCTCAAGAGTAGAAGACACCCGTAAGCTACTAGTATTTGACCACAGATGCCTTAGAAATATTGCTGGCGTCTGTTGGGATCACCGGGTAAGTAATAGTGAGGTTAGGCGCAGGGTATTAGGGAATGATGGTCAGTTGATGAGGTTGTGAATCTTCATCGACTGAGATGGTTTGGCCACGTGTTACGTATGCCTGAACACCGATTACCGCAACGTGCAATGCTAACCGGTGTAGGGGATGGTTGGAAGAAAGTAAGGGGCTGTCAAACCAAAACGTGGCATCAGTGCTTGAAGTCACTAACTTCTAGTCTGAGCCATGTTGGTAGATGCAGACTACTTGGTTGGGGTCCGCGTGACTTTCGCAACCAATGGTTGGTGACATGGCGCAGAATCGATCACAATGGCGTCGGTGTATACACTCACTGTCTTCCCTTAAACTAAGAGATTAAAATCACTTCATATCTTTTTTTCTACTAACTAATTCTTTCTTCCTATACTATATCCTTATTGCAATCTTTCTCCTATATATTACCACCTTTGACTTAACCACTCCTATGAATCCGGTGTTCATCTTGCTGTGCTAATGAGGTATGGCAACCTGGACCGATGCACATATGTGCCTGGTCCTACGTTGTAGCTGACTGACTGACTGACTGAACAAATGCTATTCTAATAAACGTGAATTTTAACAAAGGAAAAACTTTAAAAAAACTACAGAATACCGAACAAAATGAACTTTAGAGTTAACGTTTTAGATTAGTTAGACCACGTCACCAGAATGTCGGTAAAACAAAATAGTAAAACAGTAAGCTTCAAATCACACATATTTATGTCAGTAGTTTGTCAACGTCACTCATTTTACCAACTACAGGTTAAAATAACCAATGGCTGAAAGCCGAAAGGTTTAACCAGTCACTCAATCACTGTTTTACATCTTTCAATAATAAGATTTTATGCTTATTTGAAAATATAAAGACCAGACAAACCTGCATTTGGGACATCGTATAAGTCCGGATTTAGGTTGAGAGTGACCACATACACAGCGGACATCAGCCCATACATTATTACCGACCCAAGCGTTATCAACAGCCGGCTGAATATATGAGCCATCGGAAGAAGGAATAACGATCTGAAATACAAATTTAAGGAACGTTGATGCAAAAACATTTATTTTGTTCATTGTTTTAAAAAAGTAACTTATGATTAATGGTATTTTCTCCAGCTGGAAAGTAGTCAATTTTAGATAGCACCAAGAGTGAACGATAGTATGAATGTTGGACGACAAAAGAAACAATAATTAGACACCGCTCTATTAATACATTTAGCGCAAATTTAAAAATTCAACCTAAGTAACAAAAGCAACATTGTATGAAGTCATTAATTCGACTAGTATTCATCGGTCGACAAAAGGCCTAAAGAAATAGATCAACTACTCCGCGTAAACGTTAACAAGGTATAGTTTGCTACTTGGTTACAGAAGAATAATTAAATAAGCAGAAAATTTACGACATTGTATGTGCATTTGCAAGCAGTAAACAACTCAGAGTAAGTAACAGCAGTGATAACCAACACATTGCTTGATCTCAGAAAGATAGAGAATGCACAATAAGGAAATGTACATCAAATTTTATTGGTTTGTTGAAAATGACTTAAATGTCTGCCACAAGATTAAACTCATATGCTTGAAAATATTTTATCTACAAACTCTTAGATACAATACGGCTAGTTGGCTAACGTATTTTATCCAAACAAATTCCAGTTACTTAACATGGAAATGCTCTACCCAGATTTAAGTCTACCTACAGTTTTTAAGAGCTCTTAGGTAGCTTCAAATTATGTTGAATGAAAAGAATCATGGTTAAGCAATCTCAGTGACCATGTGATCACGTCTGATGTAAAATGTAATCATTAATAAACTGTATTACCATAACAAATTGCAAAAGTGACATACTGAAATAGTGTATGAATCGTAAAAAAGTAAGATTACCTTTGCAATATAATCCACTTCTGATGTGTCACTATCCAAATCACTTAACTGAGAAGGTGAAACTGCAAGTTCTTCGGGCACTTCAATGACCTACAAGATGTAAAAGCTCATGATTATTAACAAATCGCCTACTTACTGCAAGCTTTAAGTAGTATCGTAACGATTCGCGACATATTAAGTAGGAACTTAGTTATCGCCACAGTTTGGAAGTAGACACCCGTTCCATAATGAAGCAGTGATCTCATGGTTAACACACCCATCTGTAATTACTATGCCTCAGATGTGGATTCCATACGTTTTGTGTTTGAGCAACCGATGCACTAGAGAAGGATATGAACATTACGACACTAAACTAACGCTATAAGTAGAAGCACGTGGCTGTCATCTGAACAGTCGAACTTAAATGATGTTCGTTAGGTTTGACTGTTATTCCTATTATCACGAAATCTCACATATACATCTATTCCTTTAGGAATTACACTTTCCATTTCAACTTTTCACGCGTAGACCTCCTTTCTAGAAATTTTCATTTTTTATTTTTATTTGAATACAAATATTGGTACAAGAGGGCATCAAATATATATGCGCCACACAAAATAATAAGAATCTGTCCTGCGACCAACAAGTCCCCGTCGGTCACCTAAACAATTATCTTCTGTGCCTAGACGCCCGACCCGAGCATTCAAGTCTCCGGTTAGAACTACAATATCTGTCGAACGCACTTTCTGGAGAACAGATAACTGGTGGTAAAACTCATCCTTGATTGCATCCAGGCTGCAATCTGTCGGGGCATAGGCGGAGATGACGAAAATACATCGTTTCTCACGCCCATTTCTTTTCACTTTGACGGAACTTTCTAATCTAGAACGGGTAGCCTCCAAAAGCTTTTTCTAAAAAGCTTACTTGTTGACCAGCAATTGGCTTATAAAATAGTTGTTTGGCGATGAAATTAACGAAACATATTAGCTTAAAGACCTTGTATAACAATGTACGGAAGTTCGAGATCTATTCCTATCAGTCTAAATGTAAAATGTAGCTTCAAGACAAGTCACCATCAATGCCGTTTGACCATACCATAGACAGTGAAGTAGATAAAATCATTGACCGCTTTGACTATCTTGGGAGTTTCGTCAGTTGAGATGTTGCTATCTGACGGAATTTCGACATGGATAAATTTTGCTTAGGAATTTCCCGTTTGCACCACTTACAGTTTAGGTGAAAATCCGTATGAATATTCGAGAGCAAGTGTACTTTTCGGCAGTACGCTCTATTTGACAATAGTACTTTTTAAGGATTGATGACATATAATGGAGCAACGGAGTGTGCAATAATAAAATCGGACTTGGAATACTAGGCAAAGATGCTAAGCAGATCGCTTTCGACTAAGTTGAACGTAAGATGTGTAAGTATTTCTGATCGTCGGGTACCCTGACGCGCAGTTGGTTGGAATCGGATCAAATTTAAGAAAACCCGAGGTGATGTTTGCCCATGAAGTTATTGACTAATGATAAGTCCAAACTACTTGATTAGCCTAGGTGTGGTAACAGTGACTAGTGACTAAACGTTGGTTAAAATGACTCAGAACCGGTCACAGTAGTGCAAATACACTTACTCTTTAACATCTTGACCTTGAATCCTAATATTCCTTTATTCTTAACTTCTGATTTTGTCTTCTTGAAACAATTTAATGTTTAGTATTTCGTATTGTCGATGCTAGTCCAACTATTTCAACTTCCTCTCTGTTCATTGCATTAATTTCATATCGTGCTGATTAAATGGTGACAACTTAGGCTAACGCGCAACTACACAAGGTCTTACGATAACTATGATTGACTGAAATTAATACCTTTGTTATATCGACTAATTTTCTTCCCTTGCTATCAAAGTAATATATCAGCACTGAATTTTAGTAACTTGAATAAATGCAGTTTTGCCTTGTAGTACGTTGAGCAGGATTGTTATGGGGTCCCTGTCTTCCTTATCACTAATTATTTCTCAGTACTGAGACTTTATAAGGAATCCGAAGGTGGTCAAGTACATAAATGCAACTGTGAAACAAAAAAGATATTAGTTTTGTTGTTGGTATTTTAATACCACCGATTTCTTTCTCATTTAATAAGTTCCTGATCCATTTCATAATTATTGCCTATTTGTCTTATATTGAGTACTACGGAGTATATAAATGAAATTTAGACCATAAGCTCACTGTGTAATAAGAATGGTGAAAGGAATAATTTTTTCTATCTAGAAATCCAAATAAACACTGATCGTTTATTCTGGAAACTAACTAGGCGTATGTCAATATTAGTTGCGCAAACAGCTCAAGACCGATGGTGTTAAGCGAACATAATCAAAACTAGCGAAAACACATAAAACATTCTAATCTTCATAAGTCTACAAAATTAAGCATTGTGAAGTGCACAGCATATTAACGTTCGTGAAAATACATTAACTCAACATACCTTCAACTCAGGTTCACACCGTAACTCCATTTGTTCATAATTGGAAATTTGTGAGCCAAATCGTGAAGGTATATACTGATCCTTCGAATCACTATCCGCCAACGATTTGTCATCGAGATCTATGGATTTAGAATACCATAGTCCACTAGAGTGCTTTTTACCATCACTGCTGTACATACCATTCCCTTCGAGTGTGGAGCGTTTAAAAGTAAGTGAACTTTGCCTATCGAAACGCTTATCAGCATTATGTTTTTGCCCATTATCTTCAGCCCCTAATTTACAGCCTGACTTTTGGGCAAATAAATTTTTCGAACAGAGATTGTTCAGCTTTGTATCTGAAAATTTATTTTTCGGCACTTGAAGATCCATTAAATGGGGTGCCATTGAGGGAGGAGTTAATCCTGAAGGAAGGGCGTAATTATGATCGTTATACTTCAGGCCAAATGAACAAATAGTTGGGCCAAATGAAAGTGATGTATCCGGATACATCGTTTCAAAATCTTCCTCACTAACAAATAGAACAAAAAAATAAATAACTTGATATATGGTATGGTTATGGACAGTTTAGTCAGCCAATCGGACCAAACGTAGAACCGGGTACATGTGTACAAGCATTGAAATTGACATACTTCATTCGCACGACGAGATGAAATTGTCAGAGTAAATACCAGGGTAGTAGCGGTATCAACAGTGTTGATAGTAAAAGATAAGCATCGAAGAAGTGATCCAGGGGAATATGGAGTCATGGAATAAAAACAATTAACAGGATAATTTACAAAATAAAGATCTAAGGGGAAGCAAGGAGTCTCTAATCATTGGTCACGATAATTACGAAGACTCCAACCAGGTAGTCTGTACCCTCCTATATAAACTTAACGGAAACATGTATGAGAGTATTAGGGATTGAGCACTTACACTTTCTTGACAGTTATTGCTGGAAAGAATTCTCCTCAGACTGATTGTAGGTAATTTAAAATCTATCTGTCCTAACGTACTGCTATTATAATCTGGGTTGAACATCCTTAAGACTAACGAATAAATGGCTTAGGTCATTGATAAGCAAACTTAAATTCCGGAACTCAACGTAGACTTAGTTAGTATACCCCAAACAATTTCTGATATCTGTTAAGTATTTGCAAGATTGTTATACTCAAGCTACGAAAGAGACATGGCTGCAGAGCAAGGGATATTAGAAAATATGTTAGTTACCTTACTCAAATCCTTTCGCGAATCACAGCACTTCAGTGGATATTAAAACGTGTCCGCAAGAAAAATGAAAGAATTTCTGAAAAAGTTACGCAGAAACCGAGGTGAAAACACGTTCCTAACGACAGGACTGTTACCAACTTGATGGGAAGAGGATAAATCATGCCTAGGTGGTTTACTTCGTGTAGAATAGTCCAGGATCACACGTTAAATCTGTGATTCAGCTAAATTAAATTCTGCTAATAATCGAAATTTGCAAATATCTCTATAAATTTTGGCTATAGCACAGCAGAAACCAAACTGTCACTTGAGACCCCTGAAGTGCTATTTCGTGATCACTAGTCTAAATGGAAATGTGGAATTATGGGACAAGAAATCATGATTATGTTAATAACATTGTTGGATTAGTGGACGTGAAAACTGACAAACAAAACATCTAGTCGAGTCTCAACCCTAGCGCAGGTTGTTAAACTTCAAATGTAATGGAAATTTCACTAGACCCCCTTTCAGGTTTCAACACAAACTGCGTCAGGAGTACTATGGACCGAGCATTATTATTGTCCGTCTAAATCACGAACACTCAGTACCATTCCACGTTATATAACACAGACCAAAACTAAAACCACACAAGTGGGTATTAAGCTCTAGTCTAAGAGGCACATTTACTGGTATTACAAACAACCTGTTTTAGTTATCTCGAGAACTACCTATAAGCGAAACTTGTCTCCTAGTATTTTGGTTAATTTGTTGGATAACTAGGATATCTAACGACATTATCCAGTTACATTTATATAAGCAAGACAAAACACGATCGCTCTCATATGAAAGCATTACTTAGAAATTGAAGTGGGACATGGGTGTATTCCGTGTACATTTCAATAACTTACTCTCCTTTAAGCTCTACACAAGCAGTTAGTTCAAACATTGGTCCAACGAGACGAATACCACTTTCAGGATCTGCATTGCAATATTTTTTCTGTGCAGATTGAAAAAACGAACTGTAGTTGTGCGACGGACGGCCATCAGCACCTCGAGACAAATAAGTTGTCCTTCTTCTAATATCCATATTTACAATAGTTTTGTACAACTGATATATGAGGATTATAGATTAGTGATAGTGGAAAAACAGCTGCAAAGCATAGTGAAGAGACGTCCACAAGTCGATAGTCGCGCACTGTACCTACCTATTGTGCAGATTGGATGCAGACAAACACTAACTTCTAAACACTTTTACCACCCATATAGAGAATGTTTGACGAAATTTATTATACAAAAACTCTATTTCAATACTTCTACCCTAAATTAAGAGGATATTGTACTCTGGGTTTTTTTACTAATTATAGGTTAGTTGTACAACATAGATTATGGCACTTTTTCAAAATTTGTCGAGTACAACCGTTCTCTCTTAAGCCCATTATCATTCTCAAACAGAGAAGAATGTTAAAGTCTTATTCCGCCGGTTTGGGGCAGAGGGCTAAAATTCTTTTCGTGATGACTCAAACCACATCACTGAAAGTTACTTAAAAATTTGGCCAGAGATATATCTATGACTTTCATATACATTCAATATTGAGTAGTTACAACATGTTAGATGGGTAAAGATTAATTGTTTTTTTGATGATCAGCTTATTCTTGAAGTTCGATGGCCCATTCCTAATCCCATCAGATAGCAGACTTGTATGAATAATCCAAAATTCCAAGAATTCGTAGTGACTCACTTTTATCACGGGAACTGGTTTAATGAAAACAATCGTTATTATAATCAACTGTACCAGTGCTTGTTTCAACGTGCTTTTGTTTAACTGTGCTAATTACAGTCGTTTTGTGCTTCCACCATTGTTCCGCGGGTTTTGGCTTTGTTCGCACGTACTCCATTGGCACACTATGCTTGTTAGTTTACGGGTTTTCGCGTACGTGTAACGTATTGTCGTGGATTTTATGTGTCGTTATTTATCAGCTATTAACAGCCTTTTTTCCGTCATACATGACTTTTCGTAATCTTTGTGATTGGAAGATAGTTTTTGTTTCAATTTATAAGCAGTTTGACGTATTTCGTGCTCACCACCTAAGTAAATATGTAGCTGGCGTAATATGGTTATTTTTTAACAATACTAAGTCAAAGAAGTCAAATCACCATTTTTCTAGTCAAAAATAGATTACAGATTGAGTTTTCATGAAAATAAGCCGTAAAAAGAATTATATATGGTTCACCTCCTTGATTATGGTGACGGCAAACACAGATGTTGGTAGTCATTTATAAAATGTAATTAGAAAGAAGTAAGCGTTAAAGTAACTATGAATATTATATAAATTGTTTGTATTTAGCCATAAAAGGTTATTTGGACTATAGGTAGCATTGTTTTGTACTGAAGTGACATATTACTGTGTAAGGTATCAGAGAGAAATTATGTGAGTAACAATAGACGTTGATAGTCTTTTTTACCGGTTTTCTGAACTTATACAGAAATAGTGTGTAACACCACATAAAATATGCACGAAATCTTCATAAGTAAATCGATGGGTGTCTCTTCTGAGCATGGTGACGAAACCATGTCTTACTTAATACTGACTTATGATGTGTCTGTTAGAGGGTTGACGAATAATTCTCTGTAAAGGAAATGCACAATCGCAGAAGAAAATGTGAACAAAGTTATGATGCATATTGTCGAGTAATATCTAAATGGTGCTTACCAATTTCTCTTGCTAATACCAGATATATAGACGAAATACTACAAGGGTTAGACACTGAAGAAATTTCCATTGCTTGTTAAGACACAAACTTAAATCAAAAAACAACTATTAATGAGTTAATTCATGAATTCCTACTGCATTACAGACTGACTCGTCCAAAGTAATTCATGCAGACAACGTGACGAAAAGTGAATGAGCAATGGAAGCAGAATCACAAGTTCCTTGTATTCATATCGCCTTTATGCCACATTATTGAATTACATTTTATTCATAAATCCGACCACGCTTCTATGTTGTGACGAACCTGATTTCAGTAATTTTTAAATAACACTGATTTGTGTGTTGTAAAGATTACCTATTAATTTTTATTAAAGGAAATAGAAATCTCCAATGATTAGCGCTGTCTGCAAATAAGAGACTTATAAGTTCATTCTGTAACCTGCTATTTGATTGACTTATTAAATGTGATATTGGTAACTAGGTCTAATTCTTTATTTCACGACTGATTTGTTTGTTTTTCAGAATTGTATGAATCAAATGAAGTCGTAAAAGCTTTGTGATGATGTTTACGCCGGTCTACAACTTATAGAATTTGTGATTATGGAAGACCATATTAAAATCATTTTTATTCAACAAATGAATTAGTGAAATATAAATATAGCAACTACACTTAGTGTCTTACGTTATAAACCGTGTCAGTATTTATTAATAGTCGATATGACGCTAGAACAAATATAGATAGAGAATAATATGAACTCCTTATAATCCATGGAATGAACAAGTAATAAGAAGGATTATGTAATAATTTATTTCACTTTTAAAATTTAGTTACGCATTTTTTCCATCACCCTGTCACTTAATCCTCTGTAATTACGTGACCTCTGTAAATTGTAATCAATTATGACGTAACTCAAGTTTTCAGTTCTTAAATCCACGGATCATTTACAAGCTATAAGAATTTCACACCACTTATCTGTCTGTGAACTGCAGTCAACTATTATATCACCCATTCTTAATGTGTTATTGACTGTAAAAGCAAATGACCTTTGACCTTACACTGCATATATATATATATATATATATATATATATATATATATATATATATATAGTCACTATTGATAACCTACGTCATTTCATTTATTCATATTCAGGTATGTCAACTGTTTCCCACATCACTGTTAAATCCTATTGCATATTTAGTTGTAATGAATGCATACCACTGTTAATCAACATTTCTCCTGGTTTTATTTTGATTCATAAGCGGAATTAATCACATGAACTTAAAATGTACATAGGTCCTGATACGATTTTAATGATAAACGTAATCCCACGAAGGTGAATATGATATGTGGGTGCCTAATCTGCAAAACTATACGCGGATGTAGGGTTTCTTAATCAATCTTAATTATTACAAACAGTTACACATGAACATCATTGCTATTCATTCCCATAAAAGTAGGAATAAGATGAAAATTGAAATTATGAAAGTTTATTGAAGAATCATTGCTGCAAAAGCAGAAAATCAAGTTTACAAGTTGGTATTAAGAATTCTTAAGTAATAATTGTCCACTTTCTTCTCAACTTCCGTTGCAAAACGTTCACCATACTTCTCAATGATGCGATGTTTATGGATTCTTTGGCTTCGTTGAATACTTACATACACTTCACTCCGTCGTGGTAATGCAGGTAATGTATAATTTTGGAAGTTCTGGGTATTGTGTAACTTCCATCTGCTACAATACCTAAGAAGTTGATGAGCTATGCAGTTAGTATTTCATAATTGATATAGCTTACCTGTAAGATTTCTTCTTTTACTTTCGATAACTTCGTCTGCTGACTCACAGTGAAGTATTACGGGCTTCGAGTTCTCTTTTTCTTCTGACGATAATCTCCTTGTCCATGGATCACATACCATCCATGAACTACTACATGGATGATTGTGTATCATCTTGTAGGATTTGATTACATATCCTTGCTCTTCTAGTCTTACACGGAATTTAGATTGACAATTACGGAATTTAGACCTTAAACATAAGATATTAGTTAAAGATCTTACGATTTTTGCCTCACTTTCAAACCTTCCGATTTCCGTTTGTGACCAAACGTACAATTAAACGATACAAACAGGTATTTGAACCTGACATCCTTCAGCAATCTGCTTTCTGTGTGGATGTAACGAGTATAAGTAGTCTGAGAAGCGATAAAATTATAGTTCCATACTTTTTGGAACTCTTTTAAGGCGCTTTCAAAATCATCCCACAACACGAAACGCTTGTTCAGTATCATACTTCGAAAGGCATCGGTTAAGTCGACTGAAATGTCACTTGAGGATGAAGCACTAAAAACAGACATTACTAATTATTAAACAGTTATTCCTTGCAACAATAATAACCCAAGGAAATACTACAAATACTTGAGATTTACCTGTGACTTGACATTTCGTTTAGCTTTACTACAATTGTTGGAATCAAAGATCAAATTACAAAGCAACAACAGAGCCAAAGTGCACACTACAAAACAGAGAACGCTAAATTAATGGTTTTGCTATTTATTTCGTGCTTTTTATGTAGCATAGGATGACTTATATATGAAAAAACTTGATACTCATGCAAACCAACCAACCCACGGCAATTGAAATACGGAATGACCGCCTCTAATCAAGCCGTTCAAGGTCGTTGAAACGAAAGGGCGGGCACATTTCAAAAGGACCTAACGTTTAAACCGTGCCTACTCCATTCTCCTGATTTCGCTTGTACCACTACTTGGCACGATCTTGGTATTCCTTCGATAACAAGAGATCGCCAACGAAATAAATCTGGTTACGTTCGACCTCCGCCTTTTGACTTCTTTGGCACATGCTTTTTGGTAGCGGTGTTCATAGTCAATTTAGACTCGACGTCACGCTACACATTTAACTATGGCCAGTATTCGGATATTAGAAATAGCGAAGGATGGTGGCTAGCGTGAAGTGTGAAGTTAGGCACTACAAAATTATTTTGTAATTAGTTTTTGATATTAGTTGCATTTTTTTTGTTGATTCTCATAGTTTGCTCACTTACCACGAACGGCTGTAAAGGTTGTTCAAAATTGCATGACCTTGAACCCATTTTTTTACTGTTTGAACCGCTCATAGAATGACACTCCTTACTAACCGCTCATAAATAGACTGTTACACACACGTCTCTCGTTCCCAATTGCTTGTGATTATGATAACTGAAGTATGAAATACCTATTATCTACATCTATAGTTTACAGACATTTCCATTATATACTATATCTCTGCTATAACACTAGAATTAACACAACCTTACTGGAATTATTAATTACCTATAGTTGTGGGTTATGATACCAAATGCAGTTCAAACACGCCAAAGCCTGCTGATTTAAGTAACGTCCCATAACTTTTCCTTGTGTTTATAAATTGTAAATGGTATGTTATATCATTAACATTTGGATATAATAACTTCATTGTTACTTTTGAGTTAATACGATTTTCAGTT